GCCAACGGTCTGCGTCCAACGCGTGAAACGCAAGGTCCACGGACGCCTCGCAGACGCGCTGGCCATGATCAACCCGAGAGAGCGCAATAGCAAAAGCGCCAAGACCAACAGCAGCAGTATTAAGGTAGAAGAGGGCACAGAGCCTTAGACGCGCTCGAGGCGCGAGGCGATCGCGGCTCGAAAGTGTGCCATCGCTACAGACGCTGCATCGACATCGTGGCGCAGCGCGTGGAAGGCGGCGGCTTTGCAGATGGCGCCAATGTCGGCGCCTGTCATGTGCGCTGCCCGCTCCATCTTGCTCAAATCGCTGCGCAAATCAAACGGCGTCGATGCGAGAGCGGCGACGTCGACGTCCTCTGCCAATGGCATGCGACGCGTGTACGATTCGAAAATGGCCTAATATCAATCTATCAGTATCCGTGCACCACGTTGGCTGGACTACGAGGCGGTCGTTTTGATCGGGGTACCCAACTTCAAGGGCTTGGTCAATGCGGCCCGGTCGCACAAGAGCCTAGCCAAAGACAATAATGATGTGTACATTGTGCTTCGAGATTCGGGGCGCGAACCGCATCAAGTGCATCCTTGCGGTTGGTAGCGGCCATCACAATCACCTCGGACGCTTGCCTACATGGGGGGTCGTTGGTCGAGCAAGACAGGACGCAGAAGGGTCGCACCCGCCAACGCCGTCCATTTCGTTGAGCAGCGTGGATAAGACGCGGGCGTAGACACTGCTGCTGCTGCCGCCGCCAGAACCTAGTGGAGTTACTACAGAGGCCCCGCCAGCTGAGTCACGACGTACTGTCGAACGCTCGCTTCTCTGCGATCGCGTCGAGCTAGGAAACGTGAGTCGAAGCAGACATCTCATCGATCATCGAGAGCGCGTACTTCGTCAAAAAACAAAATGCACGGCGCCGACGCTCGTGCCCGTGCTACGCGCCGACGTCATCAATTGATGTTCGAGACAAGTACGTACCAAACACGTCTCGGATCGACTTTTCCGTCTCGCCAAAGTACTTGGACAAAAGGTCGGATGACTAGCAGCACAGAGTGCATCCATCGTCCAAAATATCAATCTATCAACCTGGACGCGCACAAAGTTGGCGTTGCACTTGGCCGCGAGGCCACGCACGAGCGTCGTTTTGCCGCAGCCCGACGGACCGTACAGCAGAATGCCCGAGACACTCTGCACACCGAGGGCCGCAAGCGCTTCTTTTCGCTCAAAGCGGTATGAGATGAGCTCGAGGAGGCGGTTCTTGAGCGCCGAATACCCTGCAAACAGCGTCCAGCTCGCCAAGGCCGCGCCCGGCGCCTGCACGTTGAGGGTTTGGAGCTGCGACGGCGTCGTCACCCCGAGCGCCTGGATTCGGTCATCATCCAGACATGACAAAGCGACGTACCTTGACAAAGTCTTGCCACACGACAGTCGGTGCCTCCTGGAGCTTGGACGAGGCGAGTGCATACCGGCAGACGCGGACAAGGTCCTTGGCGACGTAGCCGCCGGTCGCAAGCGCCACACGATGGGCTACGTCGTTGTGAGGCGCGTCCAGCGCCGCCGCGAGGAGCAGCCGGCGCAGAATTGCTTGCCGGCACACTTCACTCGGCACGGGCAGCTCCAATTCACGCTCGAGTCGCCCGACACGCGTGGCCGACGCAGGAAGACCGATCGTCGATGACGCGACGACGACGACGCGCCTCGAGCCAATCGAATCGAGCACCTGGAGGAGGCTGCGACCCATGGGCGACACTTCGTTCTCTTCAAAGCATGCTTCGACATTGTCGAGCAAAAGGACACCAAAGTCTGCCAACGACTGGAGCTTGTGGGCCAAGAAGGCTGTCGGGGATGGAAACGCCGTCGTCACGGCCGACTCGAGCATCAACGACATGCCCTCGAGGTACACGACGGGGATCCCGAGGCTTCGGAGCTGCGCTCCGAGCGCTTGGAGCAAGAGCGTCTTGCCTACGCCGTGGACACCGCGCACGAGCAGGCCGTGGGACGCGACGTACTCGGACGACGTGAGAAGCACGAGACGGAGGTGGAAGAGCACGTCGTCGACGGTATTTTCGTAGCCGGCAAAACCATGGCGCTCGATGCGTTCTCGCCACGGATGCGACGCCCATACCTCGTCGAGCTGTCTGCTGCTCTTGGCGAGCGTCGACGAGGCGTCCGTGGACTGCGCAAGTTGGACCAAGGTGGCGCGGCCGACGCGTGCAAGGGGCGCCGCTGGGTTGGTCGCTGTCGCAATCGCATGCACACGAAAGAGGTACGGCAGACCGAGAACCAGGACTGCGACGGTATGACCGGCGCTGACGTACGCGACTTGGCGGCCAAAAGTCGTCGAGAGGTCGAGCGTGTTGTCGACGAGCACTTGCGGCAGCAATGGCGACCCGCGTTGCAGCGGAAATGCACCCAACGGCTCGATGACAATGGACTCGGCGACGTCTTCTGGCACATCGATGGTCTTGCACACGAGGCCATTGGCGCCGTGCGTCATGCCAAGCACGTGCAACATCCATGGCGGTAGCTGCACATCGCGCACCTCGTCGTCGTCGTTGGCGCGGGCCGTCCAGCCGGCGCAGAGGATCATTGCTGAATTCGCAGCGTGTGTGAGGCGCACGCAGCGAATTGGCGCTTGGCCGTCGGAACGCTCCACGAGGCGCGCCACGTTGAGCGGGAGATCGCCATGGCCACTGTAGGCAACCCGATCCATGCCAGTCGTCGAGATTGCACTTGACACTATTCCACTTGTAGCACACTATTTGAAATTAGTGTGTGTGTGCCCCTCTAAGATCCATAGTGCAATGGCCAACAACGCGCCGAACGAGGTCGAGGAGACGATCAAGGCGCTCAAGGCCAAGCCCGGCTTCTTCTCGTACATCGTCATGAACAACGACGGGATCGTCATCAAGTACGAGAACATGGAGTACAAGATGGCCGTCATGCACGCGTACCACATCCTCAACCTCTACGCGCGCTCCAAGAAATACCTCACCAAGCTCTTTGACGCGGCCGAGAGCGACATCGAGTGCCTCCGCCTCCGCACCAAGCTCCACGAAATGATCATCGCGCAGTACGCCAAGTTTACGCTCGTCGTGCTCCAAGTCTCGGAAACCGAAGAGGTCAAGGTCGAGACCAAGATCGACGATGCCAAAGAAAAGGAAGCCGAAGAAAAACCAGCAGCCTAATGAGCTTTATACCTATCCGTGTACATAACGTCGATGGCGTCTCTGTGAGGATCGTCGGCGTCGCGACCGCTTCTTCCATGCACCCCGTCCACCACCACCACTGCGTTCTCAACCCAACCACCGACATCTGCACGCATTTGGGTTCTTCTCTCGACATACAACGAGTCGGCACTACTGGCTGGCGCGCACGAGGTGGCACATGGGCCCGAGCGCGAGCCAGCCAAAGCTCAAGTACGGTGCATGCCCCGTCGGCCACACATACGTGTACGCGCAGTGATACCACGCCGACGCCTTCTGGAGCACACGAAGATCGTCGTCGTTGGGCTCGGTAAACTCGGCCCAAAACACGTCGGTAAACTCTTGTTGGACGCGGCGGACAGCGAGGCGGAGGCGCTCGAGCGTGTCGTCACTGGCCTTGGCGCCGCGCGTGCGACAGACCTTGGCCGAGAGGTGCCGCACGTAGCCCGAGACAAGCTCGGCTTCGGTCGCGACTTCAAACCGCGTCGCCACGTCATAGAGCGCCGACGTGTAGTCGACAAACATCTCGAGCGCGTCGGCTTGGTACATTTCAAACCCGGGCGCGAGGCAGCGGAGCATCTTGGCGTCGCACGTGGGCTCATAGAGCCGCGCAGTCTTGGCGCGGCGGTACAGTTGCCCGAGGACTTTGGTCGACTCGTACACGCCCTTGTCGGGCTTGTCCATAAAGTCGGGGTACACATCCATCGGCGGGTACTTGGGAATCGACGCGGGGATGCCCGACTTGGCGTAGTCGACCGCGACCGCGTGCGCCGACGCAAACGCGAGCGCGAGCGGGTCGCACGCGCCGTGAGGACTTAGGTCGCAGAGCACAACGTGCGTGTTGGCAATTTGCCCGAGGTTGTCGTTCATGAGGTAGTCAACGTAGAACCGACCAATCGCCTATACATCGCTTCCATCAGCGTCTTCCACATTATCGATTCACCGTACGTTCATGGTCGGGTCCACCGACGTCGGTGGCGTCGCTGCGACCCCGGGCTCCATCGGCGGGTACGTCGTCGTCGGCAGCAGTCGCTCGTCCCAAATACAAAAGTAGACATCGCCGTCGAGGTCGCCACCGGCCATCGTGTCGGGGTCCGGGCGGTCGCCGGCCGACGAAAACACGAGCACGTCGTACAAGTGGCGCAAGGCCGGCGCATCGACGAGCGTGAGGCACTGAATGTCGCCCGGGTGCAGACACGGACACCGGCCGACCGCAATCGTCGACCCAAACGCCGGCGTCTCGCCGCGGGTTTGGAAAAACACAGTGTGCGCTGGCAGCGACCTCGTTTCATCGACAACGCCCACGAGGTTGACGCCGTTCGGGACCAAAATGCGCGCCTTGAGCTCCACGTTGCGCAGTAGCCGACTCCGAAGCACACCAATCCACTCAAACACGTAGCGGTCGTCGAGACCGACGCCGGCCGCCAAGAGCTTGGCAACGGGACTGCTCGGGTCGTGGGTGGCCACGAGCTGCGCCGCCGCGACCGCGCTCCCGAGGCACGCGTCGAGGCTCGAGAGCATGGCGTCGTAGAGCGCTAGAAACGCCGTGTCATGGACGCCGCGCGCCGACAGCACCGAAATGAGCTGGCGGTTCAAGTAGCAGCTCATACGCGACGCCGTCGAGCAAATCTCGAGCGCGCAGTGCGACGACTCAAACTTGCGCATGCTCGGGCGCAGCGCCATGCGCACATTGCCACACAGCAGCGGGTCGACCGACAAGACGCCCTTGTACCCGCCGTACCGAATCTGGAAGGCCGACGGGATGGTCTCGAGCTGCAGCGCGTGCGCCACCGTTTTGGCCAAGGCCACCGAGATGGTGCCGACGCCGTCGGAAAAGCAGTAGCCGTTGCGCTCAATGTCGGGCACGGTGCGCGTCTCGTACAGGGGCACGACGACCGCGGTGGCCGTGCCACTAAACGCTTGGCCGAGCCGCGCACCGCGCTTGCCGACTGTCGGAATCGCCAGAAAATCGCCAAGCGACGCGTGAATGGCAGCCACGCTGGGGGCCGACGCGTCGTTTGGCGCATTGTAGAACCAGGCGCTTTGGCTGCGCAGCTGCGCGTTCGAGTAGCCAAGAAACACATAGTGGTTGCCCGCAATGTACAAGCCATCTCTCACAATCGACGCGATCCGGTGGGGTATATCGCGCTTGACGCGGTGCACTGACCCATAGTGTTCGTCGACAAAGGTCGCGCGGACAAAGCGGTCGAGGTGCGTAGCGTAGAGACGCAGGACGCGGTTGGACGCATCGAGGTCGGGCACGTCGACAACAATGCGCAAGGGCGTCACGAGCACGCGCCGGACCCGGACGACACTTGGTGGATCCGGTCGTGGCGGCGGCGGCGGTGCCTCGATCGTCGCCAAGAGCTTGCGCCACGCCGACGACGTGCGCCGGTGGCGCCAGTGCGCCAGCCGCATAATGGCCGCAGCCGAGACGGTCGATGCGAGCAGCGCAGCAACAAGCGCCGAGACTTGGGCGGCGTGCGTCAACACAATCACGTGGTTGCTGACAAGCACGTGCAGAGCGTACCGCATCGCCTCCGAGAGCGGCGCCAAGAGCGCATCAAAGCCGCCGCTCCAGTCCGACTCTGGCAATCTCAGCGACGGCGCGGGCGGGAGGCGCGGCAGCGTTGCTTCAGCGAATGCCACGTGCTCGAGACCCATGCGTCGAAGCACGTCGAGGACGTCGCTCGGCGAGGATGACGTCAAGACGAGCTGGTAGCAGAGGTACATGCCAAAGGCCTTGGCCGGCGACGGGTCCACGCAGCGCACCCACTCGCCCGTGTCCTTGCAGCCGCTGGCATCGCGCTCCCAGAGCGTTGATGGCTGCAAGAGGCGCCCAAAGTCCGCAAACAGACTCGAAAACGGGTTGTCATCGGTGTCGCCGGATCGAAAGACAAACGGTGCGCGGCGAAGCGTGAGCCAGATAACCGTGTCGCCCGCCTCGTCCGTGCCAACGCTGCAGGTCGCGACCGACGCCACCTTGAACGTCACACGGTGCGCGTCAAACTCGATCGAGAAGGCGTCGGCGCTCCGCCCGTTGCAGAGAAAGGCTACGTCTCGCGTGGCCGAAAACCGCGGTGGGACCATCTCAGCCGTCTCGATCGATGGCACAATGTGAAACGAAGCGGCTGCAAACCGGCGCGAGAGTGTGTCGTGCACAAGCGCCGCCAGCGCCGGGTCCTTGCTCTCACGCACGTACAACGGGCGCTTGTCCCAGTGCGTCTTGTCGAGTTGCAGCAGCCGCTCCAACCCGAGGCGCGACGCGACCGACACGATCGCCGTCTTCTTGCGCGGCGTTTTGGGCTGTGGCGTGCGTATGTGACAGCGCACAATGTCGACGACGCCACTGCACGCGCAGTGCGCCACAATCTCGGCCGCGCTGCGCTTGAAGTCAAAGTTGCGCAAGACGGCGGTAAAGACCGGGTTCGTCGCCGCCTGCGTCAGCGTTGGGCTCTCTGCAATGGCTTTGGCCGTCGCCGCGTCGGTCGTCGCTGCGTCAACATCGACGTCCATGGCCTCGAGCACGTCTTCCAGCGGCAGCCCCATGTGCCAAGCTTGTTCCAAACGAAAAAGTGATGATCGCAGGCAGTGGCAGATTCGCTAGTCGTGACCAATCAAAACGCGTCGTGCGCGGGGGCGCTCTGCGATTGGCCAAAAAGGTATCCGCCGACAGGCCGTGACGACAGGCCGAGCAAGGCGACGTTGCTCGTCGGCCGAGGTACTTCCTATGCGACTAGACGAAGCGAGGAAGATCTACCTGGTCGCATGCATGCATGGACGGGATTGCTCTTGATGGTACGCAACTAGCGCTTGAGGCCTAAGACGAGGTCATGAAACCGAAGAGCTGCTGGAGACAGCCTCTCGTCATGGCAAGGAGTCCCGCAACGCAAGGTCGACCAGTCGTTCCGTTTGGTGACCTGTTCGTCGTATCTACTCGCTCGGCGTCGAGCTCTCGGACGCCGAGGCCAACGCATTATCAGCTCGATCGAATCTACTTGGCTAATGCTACGCTTCTTCTACTCCTAGTATGATCCAGGCCTTGCTGTGATCGACACCTTGCATGCAACCCACGTCGTCGGTCGTGAGATCGAGCAGCTCGACGACCCGAGGCGGCTCCGACGGTGCTGCATGTCCACGGGCAACATGCGCGAGCAACGAGGGTGGAGCTGGGGCTTTGTCGCGCGGCCACGTCGTGCTTGGCTCTGACAGAGACGCCGAGCCCAGCACTTTTTATGCAACACGGAAAGCGTGCAACACTGTGTCGCTGCATACCACTGCTGTCGCCGGCTCGTCTCCATGCACCATGATGTGATCCTGCACGTGCTCTTCCGTGCAAATGGCCGTGAAGTAGACGATGACAATCGAGGGTTCGTAAGGTCGCACACGACGTTCAAATTACAATAATCATCGGTGTTGTGTATAAAAATCCGACAAGTTTACTTGGACATCATCATCTTGACGAACTCTTCGTAGTTGATCTGGCCATCGCCGTCGATATCGGCTTCGCGGATCATCTCGTCGACTTCCTCGTCCGTGAGCTTCTCACCGAGGTTGGTCATGATGTGGCGGAGTTCGGCCGCCGAGATGAACCCGTTGCCGTCCTTGTCGAAGACCTTGAAGGCCTCGAGGATCTCCTCCTCCGAGTCCGTGTCCTTCATCTTGCGCGCCATCATCGTGAGGAACTCGGGGAAGTCGATCGTGCCGTTGCCGTCAGCGTCGACCTCGTTGATCATGTCCTGGAGTTCGGCCTCCGTGGGGTTCTGGCCGAGCGAGCGCATGACCGTGCCGAGCTCTTTGGTCGTGATGGTCCCATCGCCGTCCTTGTCAAAGAGCGAGAATGCTTCCTTGAATTCCGCGATCTGTTCTTCGGTAAGCTGGTCAGCCATGGTAGTGGGTCTTGAGAGGTAAAATCCAAACTGACGCGTTGCAGAAGCGACTCGATCCTTGTATTGAATGTGAGAGGTTCCGCCACTGACTGCCTCTATAAATACATGCCATGACAGCGCCGTTCGGATTTGTTCGACCTCTTGACTTGGTTTTTGTATCAAGTTGGTACGACCCGCGAAAAAAGTGTACGACCTCCACGAGAATTGTACGACCGGCGGCTACTGAATTGTACGATTTGCACGACCTCTACGCGGTTTCTCGAAGAGGCCAGCGGGCGCTGCGGTGGCGCCACGAGAGTGTGAGTACCAAGCACGCCATCGCGTGTAATCGCATTAGTTAGTCGTCAGCGGCGAACTAACTAACGTGCGTAGCAGACCGCAGGGGGGGGCGCATCGCAGAGCCTTCTAGAATCTAGTTGCCACGACGTTTCCGTGTAACGATCCCGGCCAAGTTCAAGGTCGCGACCGCAAACGACCGGCGAGGCGTCGTCGACTTAGCGTACCGGTAGCCCGCCAGTTCTGTCACCAGTGGTAGCTCGCGGGCCAAGCGCAATACAATGCAGCTTCCACAACGGTCTTCGAGGTGCAAGCTGAGTACTGTTTGGCCATAGCCTGCCGAGCCAGCGCATGCCAAGCTACACGTAGCACCGTCCTAGGCACCCTCGCCGCGCCAGCACCAACCCAGTATTCTAGTAGTCGTCACCGCAGTCCAATTCGCAGTTGCGCCGAGAGTGGTGGGCGACGCATGCATACCATTGCAAGGACACGCATCAGCCTCCTTCATGCCTGCCGCTGCATGGCCAGGTGCAAAATGCGTCGAGTACAACCCTGCAATCGGCGGCGATTGGCCAAACACGGAAGGCGACGGAAGCACGGAAGCTGCCACGGACGTGTCCGCCGCTGCACCCACCTGATGCGTATCGGATGGTGCCGCCAAGTGTCCGTTCCTACAGCCGCGCCACGACCGCCACCCCAAGCGATGGCCTTTCCTGACGAGCCAACACGTCGTCATCTCGTTTGTTGGGGCTGTCTCTAGCTTCTGGTGGCCAAAGGTCCAACCGAAGACGTCCTCTGCATGGCAGCGTCGACGTAAACGACGTCACCGACGACATCGCGCGTCCTGATTTCGGTCGATGACGAGCGCCAGGAGGTCGCGATCGGCAAGGAATGCACCCTTTCTGGGGTGTGTGGACGTGAAAACCACATTTCCCACGTTGAAGTTGTGGGCGTCTCCATACAAAGACCAAGTTATCGTCGACCAGCTGGTAAAAACCACGTCGTTCGGCTCTGATCGACGTTGCCTTTGCCAGAAAAAAAGATACTTTGCCCAATCTGGTCAAGCCCAGAACTTGCCTGTCTGGTTTCGCTTAGTTTCCAAGTCGCTGTGCCTGCGCCAATGCTCCTTCGCGCCCTCCGCCACCGCGCCCTCTCGCTGTCGCCCCGCGCTTTGGTGCGCCCGTCGCCCACCCGACTGGCGTGGCGCGCGCTCACCACGTTCTCGGGCCCGCGCAGCCCCCCGATGCTCGAGTGCACGATTGGCGAGATGCTCGAGGCTGCCGCCCGCGAGCACCCGAACCAAACTGCCTTGGTCGCGGTCGAAGAAGACATTCGCTGGACGTACCACGAGGTCAACGCCAAGGTATATACCCTCATGCTCATGCAATGGCGGACGCAAGAGTACGATCTAGGTCGATGCAATGGCACACGCGCTGCGCTGGATGGGCCTTGAGAAGGGCGACCGCTTTGGCGCGTGGCTGCCCAACACGGGCGACTACTACCTCGGTACGTCCTGCCTCCTCTCCTCGTACTTCGGTGCGAACACCACACGATTAGTGCAAATGGCCTGCGCCAAGATCGGCGTCGTGCTCGTGAACGTCAACCCTGCGTACCGCGCCCACGAGTTTGAGTTTGCAATGAACCTCGTGCAATGCAAGGTACGACTTTTGATCGCCCGCGACCGTATTCAAAGCGACTGCACCAGGCCATTTTGATCACGCCGACGGTCCATGGCACCGACTACATCCAAGTGCTCGACTCGATCTTGCCCGAATTGCTGTCGGAGACCTCGCCGCTGCTGCACAACGAGCACGTCCAGCCACTCTCGCTCCAAGCGCTGCCGCACCTCAAGTACATCTTGCACGACGCGCGCGATAAGACGTACCCTGGTATGGTTGCGCTACACGACTTGATCGCGCACGCTGAATCGCGGGCCGCGCCGCCAACGCCCGAGATTGCGCCGGACGACGTCATCAACATCCAGTTTACGTCCGGAACGACGGGCACACCGAAAGGCGCAGCGCTCACGCACCGCAACTTGCTCAACAACGGCTACTTTGCCGGCCAGCGCTGCGGCTACTCGACCAAAGATCGCGTGTGCATCCCCGTACCGCTGTACCACTGCTTTGGCGTCGTGCTCGGCAACCTCGCGTGTCTTGCCCACGCCAGTACGACCATCTTGTGACAGCATGGATGCAGAGTGTTTCGTGCTATTAGGCACGGCGGTGTACCCGTCCAAGCAGTTTAACGAAGTCGCGGCGCTCAACGCCGTCGAGAGCGAGGGCTGCACGTCGCTCTACGGTGTGCCGACCATGTTCATCCGCATGCTCAACTCGCCGACGTTCCATCTCGACCGAGTCAAGACGCTCCGGACCGGCATCATGGCGGGCGCGCCGTGCCCAATCGAGATCATGCAAGAGGTGCTCACGTTTGCGCCGGAAATGACTATCGGCTACGGCATGACCGAGGTACTTGGTGTCACCTGCTTTTAGATACCTTCCAACTGATCTCGTTGGGTCGTAGACGAGTCCGCTGAGCTTTCAAACCCGCGGCGACGACGCCCTGGACGACCGCGTCGCGACGGTCGGCGCACTTCTGCCCTTTGTCGACGCCAAGGTAGTCGACGTCGAAGACTCGTCCAAGGAACTCGGGCCGAACCAAGCCGGCGAACTCATGGTCAAGGGCTACCACATCATGCAAGGTGCGTTCTCAGAGGCTCTGCGATACAGACTTTTACCAAATGCGTAGGCTACTGGGATCAGCCGAAGGAAACAGCCAAGTCCATTGAAGATGGCTGGATGCACACTGGCGACATTGTGGCCATGGACGAGCGCGGGTGTGTACCCTACCCCTCGTCGTCTTGCCCTAACCCTCATGCGACGACGACAGGTACTGCCGCATTGTGGGTCGGTCCAAGGACGTCATCATCCGAGGTACGACGCTGCTGCTTGTTCAGGAGGATGCGATGCAGGTGTAGGCGGTGAAAACATCTACCCGCGGGAAATCGAAGAAGTGCTGTTTGCACATCCGAGCGTCGCGAACGCCAGTGTGATTGGCGTCCCCGACAAGGTCTACGGCGAGCAAGTGTGCGCGTGGGTGCATCTGCAGGACGAGTCGACGTCCGTTGTTGACGTCGAGGCGGCGCTGCGGGCGCATCTGGCGGCCGAGCTCGCCCACTTCAAAGTGCCCAAGTACTTTCTCTTCAAGTCGGAGTTTCCGACCACGATCACGGGCAAGGTTCAAAAGTTTATGAGTACGCTTCAGACTCCGACCTATGTGCTCATGCGTGTCGGGCGTTCTAGTGCGTGACGTGACGATTGCCGAGCTCGGTTTGCCCAAGACCGTCTAAGCTCAAGCTTCTCTTGATGTCGTTGAATATCATTGTTGGCGTTAAGCGAAAAAGTACATTTGTTGTTCGGGCCGGCCGCGGGCACAGGGCTCGAGCACGGGCGACCCAAAGTGGCCGCTGCCTTCGTTGTACACGGTCACGCACAGCCCGCTATGCGCAATCCAGTCGCTCCGAAGCGCGTGCGGGGCCATGTGCCACTGCTGCGCCGTCGAATTGGCGCAGCATGGCGTCAGCGCGATCGAGGGCGATGGCGGGCCCGGGACGAACGTGAGGCAGCGTCCGTCGGTGGCGCGTTGCATCATGGACATGGGACCGCCGTCCCGCGACGCGTAGACACGCCAGCGGTCGGCGGCGTCGGCCAACGCGACAACGCAGCTCCCGTCGACGGCGAGGCGAAAGGTCCAGTCGCGCACACTGTTGCCGACGCTGTACTCACCCGAGATCCATCCCGCATGAAGCGCACCAAGCAGCGAGAGGCCGAGAAGCAGCACTTGGAAGGAGCGACTGACCATGACGTCTGACCACACGCGCCGCGCGATCTGATTACTAGGAAACCAGGTGCAATCAATCGACTCAGATCCTAACAAAGCGCAGATCTGGCAGCGATTGGAGATTTGCGTCGGACGCCAGCGTCGCACCCAATCACGCCGACAAACGACGACAACAGCAACGACGCGCATGGTCGTTGGCGGCCGATCGCCCTCCGTGTTGCCGTCGTGGTCGGTCCATCCTGACCATTCAGGCAGCGCTGCGGCAACGGCTGCCACGAGGCGCTGCCACGTCATGAAGGCCAGCGCTGTCCACTGGGCGCGCGCTGCGATGTGATGATGGTAGCGCGGTGCACAGACTCGACGCGATCTTGGAGCGTACAGGTCCAGGCGCACGCGGCGCCCAATGCTGCAGCTTACGGCGGCGCGTCGACGACCGCTCGCTGCGTTGGGTGATTAAGTCCAGTGGCCGAGAAGCCAGTGCATCTCTGCGTTATGCGGATGGTTGGGCGCATTGCACGCGTTAAAAACACGCCACTTTAGCAAGATCGCTGTTTCCTGTCAACTTTTGACAGGCGGCGTTCGACGGCCGCGTCCATCTCTGCGTCCATCTTGCGCGAAGCGATGCGTCTTCGTCATGGCCAACTGGCAAGCCACGAACGCGCGCCATGAGCATCGCCATTCGATTCTCAAATCTGATGGACCATAAGTTTCCATCGACGCGGCTGGTGCTGTCTCGCGTGTGTTGCCACGCGTTGAAGCTGTCTCGTTGGCCGCGAGGCGACGTCGTGATGCTCTATTAGCTCTAGGACTACGGTCGATGCCAGCAGCAATGATCGACATTGCGAAGGCACGTGGTGTGTGTCCTGCAATGGGCATGGGCGCGTGTCTGGCGGCGGCGCGGCAGAGCCACGGTTGCGTGTTTCTATCCTCCGTAACGCATCCGGAGACTGCCTGTTCATTTGGTCATTTTTCGACGAACAAGCAGCCATGCCGACGCCCAGTCCCCCCGCGCTCCGTGTGGGCCTCGAGATTGAAAACATTGGCGAGCGCGTGGCGGCCTCCAAGAAGCGGCTGAGCTGGCGCTTCGTCTTCGACGGCTGCGAGGAGGTGCACACGGTCACGCTCGAGCACTCACGCGTGACGGCCAAGAAGCGCGTCAAGCTCGACGGCAAGCGCATTGGCGCGTCCGAGAGCTACGCCGGCGGATGGACGTTCGACTTTTCCGTGCCGAGTCGGCCAAGCGTCCCGTTCCAGATCGTTATCAAGGACATCAACCAGCTCAGCTTTGTCGAGCGCGCGAAAGCCAAGGCGAACCTGACGGCCGACAACCTCTACGTGCTCCTGATTGACCGCTGGGAGTGGGACTCGCTGCCCGAGCGCGAGCTCAAGTACGAGCGCTTTGTGAGCACCAAGTGGAGCAGCAAGTCGTATGCGCGGCGCGTCCATTACGCGATCGATTGCAACGAACACAAGGACGTGCGCGTGGCGTGGACGTTTACGTTTGGCCAAGACGGACCGGTGCACCAGCTGCTCATGGAAGACTGCGCCGACGGCAGCAAGAGCCTCGTCTTGGACCGCACGTCCATTCGCCACGAAGAGGCGCCGAATGGCCCGCCGCCGACGCGCGGCAGCAACTGGCACGCGACCCACGAGATGGGCGAGGACAAGCACGAGCTTGCGATCAGCGTGTCCAAGAGCCAAGGCGAGATCACGTACGCGCTGCACATCAACGGCTCCAAGTGGGAAGAGATGGCCGAGACCGAATATGTGCTCGAGCCCGGCTTCTATCCCGTCTTCTCCAAGTCGACGGGTCGTGTCTACTACCGCAACGACACGTCCAAGCAAACCACGTGGACCAAGCCTTCGGTGCTGCGCAGCGACGTGAGCAAGCTGGCATCGCCTGAAGCGCGCGATTCGATTGCGGGCTGGTCGCTCTCGCCGCGCACGAGTGCGCTCAGCGGCGGCATGATGGACCTCATGAGCTTCCACGAAGATGGCACGGGGACGGCGACGTCATCACGGACGTCGTCGCTGACGTCGGCGGCCGACCTGCACGTCAAGAAGCCCGAAATCATCGACCTTCTGAGTTAGCTTTGCCATTTGCGTAACTACCTTGTATATATTTATGTCATTGCGCCTGTCTATGACGTGGCACGTCCTCGTGCCCGCATTACGTAACGGCCTTGTAACGAGCGAGGCATGGACATGGCGCCGTTCCCGGATGGCATCTACGCCGAGATCCGCGCGGCCGTCGCTGGCGCCATTGCCAAGAGCCTCGTGCCACTACCCACCCCAGCGTCGATACGCGCATCGCTCTCCGAGTACGTCCCGTTGGGCTACGATCCATGGCCCTACATTGAATGTGTTGAGCTCCTTGCCATTTGCCCTCAGAGTCTGCCGAGCAACGACAGTGACAGCACCGGGCGCGATCACCCACTGGTCGATGGTAGCGCAGACGATGCAGTGCCTCTCGCAAGAGCCATGGGACCAGACGACGACGTGCGACCACGACACGGCAGCATCGCAGTCGATGTCGACGCCCCACAACCGACACTGCGCCGCGTGGCGTCCGTACCAGCGAGTGGCTCACCCACTGCGCACCGCCGATCGCAGTCGCTTGGCAGTATGTCGCAGGCCCGTCCCAAAGTCGTCAGAACCCTCGAGACCCAAGCCAGCACCAAAAAGTACCATACGATGCAGCACTATCGGTCGATGGATGCGGGCGTCGAGGATCTGCTTCGAGCGCTCGTGCTCGAGCACAGTACGTGACCGTCGACTCGCGTCCTAATCCAAGCGGCTAGTCGCGGAGCCGAGGCTATGTAATTACAGCTTGTTGGGCCCTGCTAGCACGTGTGCGATGGTTTTGATGGCAACACTAAGAGCATCCCCAGGAGTCGTTTTCATTTTATTGCTAACGGGTGGCTTTGGAAACGACCAGTTGGCAATGGAAATGGAGCTCCCCAGCAGCGTTGCCAAACGTTGCCAATCAACAGCTGACAGATCAGCATTCCGACGATTGCGAGGCGCTCCACTGGTTCCAAGGCGACGCCGTCGACGCCAGCACGGACTAGGCCCTACTCGCGGCCACGCTTAGCGAGAGTCACCAAGGCAGTTCATGACTGTGCGACGGAGCTAACCGCATGTCAGTGGGCGCAGCGACGCCTTGTGTGCAGATATGATTTGCCCAGATCGCTCAATGCGAGTGCCATCCGAGAGGTTCCTGCTACATCTGGGGTCTCTGTGTTGCCGGCATGGCTGTCCTCAACTGTAGAAAACTCCGAGCTGAGTTCTGACGGCGTTTTCATGCCTTGAATTCGTCCATTGCCCGTCGCATGGGCCTTAAAAACGATTGGAAATGCTGGCCGATGTTTTTAAAGTCGACCGCGATAAAAACGACCGGCAAATTTTTACAAATTTTTAGAAATAAAAACGCCTCTTGGGGAGGTCCGTTTTTAAAAATTGCTATATTTATGTATAAAAACGACTGCTGGGGATGCTCTAAGGGGAGGACGAAGAAAGGGACACCACCTACTTGGAGTCCTACATGTACAAGCCGAGATCCTCCGTGAGGCCAAACGTGGTCGACTGGACACCTCCGCATGATTGGCAGTGCAAGCAATGTCGATTTAGCTGACGTTGAAGGTGCCTCCAAAGCGACATGACATACAAAACAAATGCGAAGGCAGAGGCGCCTCTATGTTGTGTGCACTTAGCGCACCAAGTTGGCGATGAGGTCCTTGAGCGGCTCTTGCTCGCGGGCGTCGACGAGGTCAAACTCGATGACGAAGAGGATAAAGTGCTTGAAGCACGAGTTCAAGTGCGCTTCGGCGCCGAGCGACACGATCTTGTCGAAGTGCGAGTAGTACACATGCGCGTACACGCGGAAGAGCCGGCGAAAGATGTTTTTGATCGCAGCCTGAAAGTTGCGTGGGTATGCAGCGCCTACGCGCACGCAACCTTAGCCACCACGTGCGGCGATCGTCTACCTTCGGTCGCGGGAAAGACGGTCGGGTCGCCAAGCTGGTCCTCGACCCAGCTCATGAGCATGTCAATGTACTCGGGCGCCGGCAGCTTGGCTGGCGTCTTGTAGTTTTTCGTGTCCTTCCAGAGGTACTCAAACCTACGTGCGGATATGACGCATGCTATCGCGCGGACGCAGCATACTTTGGCCCAGCGCTCATGATCGGGCACGACGCCTTGCTGCAGAACTCGAGGATCGTGCCGTAGACGATGCTGATCTCGTTGAAAAAGTCCACCGCTAGTAGAGACCATGAGCGTTGTCAAAGCTGGTACAGCGATCTACGTACTGTTGACGGCGAGCCACTCGTTGAGGTCTTCGTGCTCGGGCAGCCGGACGGCCGAGCGCATGTCGCCGCTACAATAACGTCGCCTCATCGCGGCTCGACCTGGATGGCGTACCCGCCGAGCGTCGCCTTGGCATGCTTGTGCAGATCGTAGCGCTTCGTGCCCTTGCTATGGCTCTTCTTGGGCCGGAACGTCTTGTGGCGCTGGAAGATGTTCATGCGAGCAGGACAGCGGAAATTTAGCTCTGCGGGGCGTTGCGATCTTGCCGTTTCGAGGCTAATCGCACGCCACTTTCCATAAATCCTCTCAGGGGTAGGGCCGCGTCGGTTCGAGTCCCACTCGACTGCAATCTCGTCGCGCTCCCGTCGTGCTATACTACATTAAACATATTATGCAGTTGATACGGATCCAGGGACAAGGGGAAGAATTGCCACGGTAGCAATGCCACCCCCACGTTGTAGCAAGTGACATAATTGCTTGATTTCAAAGCTCGAGAGCGTCAACAAGAGCTGCGAGCGCGAGACGACAGACGTCCAAAATGCATTCGTTCTCGACGTCGTCAACGAGTTTTGCGAGAAGAGAGCCGACCTCGTTGAACGGACACTCCCCAGCAGAGGCCAGGTGAGCTTCGTCTCGCATCCCGTGACGAGGCAGCATGTCATCGTTGGTGCATGCGGCTGAATCATCTTCAAGCGCACACAATGGGCTCGAAGGTGCCGACGCAAGCTCCGACTCGACCGCTGGGGGCTTGGCCCCCTCAGTCACCAACGCTTGCGCTTCGCAATCTTGCACACGAGCTGCGACTTTGATCACATCGTCTGGGCAACCATTTGCCTCGTGGTCGGGAAGGCGCTCCAGCTCCTTGAGCGAGGCGGTGTCGACGATCATAGCACCAGAGGAATATGAAGGTTCGTTCATACACATGGATGCGTCTTGCGGGCTTGCCAGCGCCGGTGCGCTCTCTTCGGTGGCGAATGATACCTGTTCTGTCGCAGCGATGGCAGCAGCATTCGTCGCTTGTGCTTGAACCTTCAAGGATTCTGCGTTGGTCTCTTGACTAGTGCCATTGATTGGGACGTCTTGCTCGAGTAGCGGAGACGCGATTGTTGGCTCGGGAGCTGGTTTTTTGGGACTTGAAGCCCGTTCCGTGGCATCTGTGATGAGCTCCGTCACAAGAGCGACTGCAACACCGTGTTCGATAGCTGCAGTGCTCAAGTTTGCGTCGGGTGACGCGGCTATAGGCTGGTGGACTTTACTCTCCGCTTCGGACGGTCCTTGACTCTGCCGCAGCACTGTTTTTTTCGGGCTTGGAATGTGCGCGGCCACATCAGCAATGACGTGGTTTACCAGTGCGACGGCAACGCCGTGCACGGCATCGCTGTCTCCTGGTGGAGGCCCGACGGCGTTGCGATCACGGCCTTCAAAAGACATTTCGCTCGTAGGAACAACTAGCTGTGATTGCTTCTTGTCGGGGCTGGACGCCAACGCGGCGGCGTCGGCGAGGACATGGGTCACAAGTGCGACTGCGACACCGTGCATTGTCTCTGCCGCACTGGCCGACTCTCTTCTTTCTGAAGGTGGACACGCCGCATCCCCATCCGTTGCCTCGGCGGCAAAGGCCTCGTCTCCCAGATCTGACAACACGTTGAGCGATACGACGACCTCGGGGTAGGCTTGCATGTCGGGCCTGGTGGCTTGGATGCTGTCAATACTTGGCACTCTCAGAGCTGACATTGGCGGCTCTAAAATGATGGTTCTCGCGGACGGCGATGCGTGGCTCGCACACGAAGTCGCATGCTCATCAATGGGCTTCTCCATGAGCACTAGTTGGGCGCGTGCGATGTCATCGTCGTTGTTCCGGCTCCTCGCTTCCTGCCGAACGAGCAAGCTCCGAAAGTCTTCGTCCATCATCCGCGGGAGCTCGACACAGAGCACATCGTCGTGCAGGGCCTCTTCGGCTTGAAGCTGGCGCTCAAAAGCCCGTAGCCGCCATTCATAGCGCGCTGCCAGTGTGCTGGCCGCGTCGCACGTTGCGCGATGCGAAATGTCGTCCATGGACGCCCGTGTGCGCCAGACCCGCGCCCGACAAGCGTGCGAACGGTCCATGGGCGAGCCGACGATCGGACCGACGGGCTGGTCGTCGATGCAAACGGCGGCGCGTGCGAGGAGACGTGCAACGTCGGGTGCTGCCCACCAGCTATTGTCGTTGTTGAACGCGACGACAAACAAGATACCGCCCGGGCGAAGACAGGCCAGCACTTGTGTGAGCACAGCGCACTGCGCCGACGCGGAGAGCATTTCGAAAAAGGCCTTTGCGAGGACAGCGTCGATCGACGCCGGCGCCAGCGTTAGCTGCATCGCGTCCATACATACCACGTGCAAGAATGGCGCGAGCGACGCCTCCACACACGGCAGCAATTTCGCGTCGTTGTCGATGGCCGTGACGTTATGGTAGCCGTGCAGCACCATATCGCGGGCGAGCTGGGACCGCCCGGCCCCGAGATCCACGACAGCGTCGCGGGGTCGAACGTACACGTCGAGAAGGTGCTGGATATCGGCATAGGAAAGGTACCACTCGTTGTGGGACTTGCACGGAAACGCAGCTGCTATGTGCGGGGCAAAGTAGGGCGTGCCGACCTCGGGTGTCGTTTGTGAGGACATGGCAGGTAGCTACAAGACACGTCGTTTGATATGGTGCTGAGTTTGCCGTTTGCAGTACACTACCTCGAAGCGGTGCAGCTGCGTGAGGCAGAATACAGGTCGCAATTCTTGGCCATCGGCATCGTTGTCGTCACTTGTGTCTTTGTGACGCGTTGGCTTGGGTGGGAATGCGTGCACTGCATGTTGGCTGGCGTCGACGAGCTGGTGTGCGTAGAGGACGCGTGGGACGGCCAACACCGATGCCCAACCGCCGTTGACGGCGCCGAAATGGTGCAAGAAGGGTCGTACCGGGTCGCTCTCGATGGAACCCACGGACGAGGAACATAGCGAGGCAACGTCGTTCTCCGAGGCATCAGTTAAGACGGAACTCACGTCCGAGTCACCATCGTCATTCGACGACAATGACGACAAGGACGATGTCGATGCGAGTGGGGATATCAGACCACTCGGAGGGGCTTCGTCGTCGGACGACGCGATGCTGCTAGCGTTTGATTGCCAATCCCATGAATGCTTGGCGTTTCTGACGTCGTCCAAGAACAACCGGGGAATCGCGGCGACCGACACGCCAGCCATTCGCGCATGAATCTTGTAAAACGGTTTTGGACGTTTTCCCCTTCAAGTCTGTCCCTTGACGGAAGAGATTCTTGGTGCAAACTGATCATTTCAATTCCATTTCGAAGACACTTTTGTCGAGTTACAAGAGGTAGTGGGTCGCATCCGGCTGTGTCTCGTGCGCCGTCAGCGCACTCATATCTGCAAACAAGTCGCCCAAGCGCTGCTGCACCTACGCAACAATCGCATGTCGACGCGGCATACACTCTTTGCATCCATACCTCTGCCAGTTCCTCGGATGTGGACTGGACGCGCTTCTCCTCGAGGTTTCGGAACTGCACCACGAGAGTTTCGGTGACGACCGTGAGCGCGCGGTAGGCCGCCTCAAGCTACGCGCCGGCTAAGATACGCACCACGTGGGCGGGGGCGCCTACCTCTTGCTTGGCGAGCGTCACCTCGAGAAGCTTGTTGTGCTGCTTGGCGTTGACATACTAGTCCGCATCACGCATCAGCACCACAAGAGTGATGATGGATCACGTCACGTACGCGGCGAGACGCGCGGTGAAAGTCGAGCTCGAGCTGGGCACGGTGGTGCAGAGGCTCCTTCTATAGAGATTCTCGCATGAGACAACGAAGGGGATGAGACTATATGTCGTACAAAGGTGGAGGTCAATCCAGCGACCTTGTCTTGGAGGTGCAGGACCGCTGAGCCTTCCATGGCCGTCTACAAAGTGATGACATGAGAACCACCTTGGTCCAAACCAATGTACGCGAAACGCAATCGTTGCGCTCTGCACAGCCTCGAGACGCTGGTTTGTGCTCCGGTCGCCGTCCTGTTTGATAGCCGCATCATCCTTGCCGATCGACGCCAGCGCGTCGCCAAACTCTAGTAGAAAGAAGAGCAGCATGAGCTATTCATCAAGAAACCGCGATCGACGACGCACCCAAGGTCTTGTTGACAAGCGCGGAGAACTGTGCCTCGAGCGTGCGCATGTGACTGAGGTGCTCGTCAAAGCGCTTCTTGCGCAGAGTAAACTCGGCATCGTTGTGGACGCGGTCCATGGACGGAGCGAAGCGGTTGAAGATGACCTTTTGGCGCCAGCGGCGCACGCCATCCCGCCCAGCCGACCACAGCGAGCGGCTCGCGGACGAATGTACGACGTCGGTGGGCGAAGCGGCAGAGGCAAGAGCGGAGGAGTCAAGCGCAGACATCAAATCAGGTTCTGCTCCTTTTGGCATGGTCTCAAGTCGCCCGCATATGTAAAAGCTTTGCTTCCGGCCCTTTGTACTCTGACTCTGTAGTCCTTTACGTGAAACCGCCAGCTTCAACTTCGTTACGTTACGCCGGCGGGGGGAGCGCCACGTCATCAAGGCCGGCGTGCCGAAGGACGACTTGCCGCTCTTGTAGTCGTACGTGGGCGTAGGAAGTTGATTATTGGTCGAGTACGTTGAGTGTGCACACGTTTGAAGCACTCAAAGTCGCTTCATCTCTTATCGTTCAAAACGGCTCCCTCTGGGGCTTTATCCGGGTGGATCCGGATAAAGCACGTTGCCACAAACCAAACCATGCTCGGCGCGTTCCTTGAGGACATTCGGTCGCAGCACGCATGGCGCGACGCCCAAGACGAGCTCTTCCGCGACCAGTCCAAGCTTCGCGATGCGTCAGACATGAAGGACGTCGCTGCATATCGGGCGGCCAACCTCAAGCGGCGCATGGACCAGTCCGCAGCGTGGCGCACGCTGTGGCCCAACCAAGGCCCAACGCAGCAGCCTCCACCGCCTCCTAGTCCTTCGACATAATACGATCAAATGAATTGATATTGCATTTCATATCGTGCGTGGGCTGCTGTGGTATTCGTGCTGGTTTCATGACCGCTCACTGCGCCTCGGTGCAAGCAAGCCCTGCGTATGTGACCTTCTAGGGACGTTCGCAGAGTCTTTGCCTAATGTCGGTCGATTCTCATGCTATTGGGCTTGAATATGTACATATGCGCCGCTGGGATCACCTCGGTTCATGGACTTGATCGATTCCTTCATGGTTCACGAGGTCATTTGCTCGTAATAATACCTTTTCGCAATCCTTCTTAAAGCAATTTTCTTACGCTGGTGGTCGAGTGCATTGGTAAATGAACTAGCAGATGCAGCTGCTCGTGAAGTTGACGAGGTACTCAGTGAGAGCAGCAAGCGGCTCCAATCGCAGTGAGCATTGGCGCGGTTGATGTCGATTATCCGGTTATGCGCACAATTAACCGGATTTTGCGGGAAAGATCGCAGTTCCCAATTGACCCGGTCGGGCCCAGGACGATGCAGAGCGACGCAGCGGTGGACGACGTTCGGGCCAACGCGCTTGCGCAGATCGACATGCTACATGAGGGGATCCTGGCGTTCCACAAGCAGTTCCTCAAGGACCAGGCGGCCAAGGAGGTCATGGATGAGCCTTCCGAGACTGCATCCAAGCAAGACGACGCGAGCCTGGAGCATGCCAAGGTTGTCCACGAGCTCCGCGAGAGCCTGCAGGAAGTGCTCCGGCGGAACGAGGAACTCGCGACCGAGATGGCGGCCAGTCGACTGCAGTAGACTGCTTCGTCCATCCTACGACTTGAGTGACACGAACGACGCCTCGTAGAGAGGTGCAGTGGAAGCGCCAGATCGACCAGCTTCAGCACCACCAAGCCATACTGACGTCGCAGCTCCAGCACCAGCAAGCGACCCACGACGCGCAGCGCAAGCAGCTCCACATGAAGGACTCGCTCCTCGCCAACTACCGGTCGTCGATCCGTACCCTCGAGAACAAGGTATCACCTTTGCGTTCTCGTATCGGGTATGCTGGATCATCACCTCTAGCTCATCTCGAACGCCAAGCGCTAAGCAAGGCGACGATGGCTGCCACCACGATGCGAGAGGGAAACAGAGATAAAGCATCGGGAGTCTCAGACGCACGGATACACGACGGTCTACTTGCGTTTAGCCCCCCGAGATCGGAGGGATGAGAGCGACTTCGTCGTCGTCGTGGAGGCGGCGCACGTCGTCGCCGAGGACGTACTCGAGGTTCACGGCGAGCGTAATGTCTTGGATGTACTCGGCAGCATGGGGGTACTTGGTGGCGAGGGTCGCGCGAAAGGTCGCGGTCGTCGGCGCGTCCCCAAGGTCGATCTTCTCTTCCCGCAGACCGAGGAGCTCGCGGGCGGCGGCAAAGTACAGCGCCTTGACACGGACCATGGTTGAAAATTCGGAACTGTCCGAATTTGGTGCCTCATTCCAGGTCGGCACCACCCGTTCAATCAGGCTCGTCCATTTGAAGAGGCGCGATCCACGCCGACTCCTGACCATGGCGGCCAGCCCGCCAAAGAAGCCATGGCGCTTCTTCTTTGTCCTTGTGTTTCCCAACAGCATCAAGATGCCACCGGAAGAGGTAAAGATCCTGGATGCCTCCATGCAAGAATCCTAATGACGCGAGTAGCTCAAGAGCATGGTGACGCGCACGCATGCCATGGAGGCCAAGGAGCTGGCATTCCTAAAGGGCATCGCCGCCCAGCACCCCCGCAACAACCTGCCGCCGTTCGTGTCGCCGTTCGTTGCCGTCTTCCAGACATTGCTGCGTCGCACCACCGGCCTCTCGCTTCTCTGCCTCCTTGGCGTCGCTGCGGGCCTCGCCTATCTGCACACCGCGTCGGCGTACAGCATTTATTTCCCGCGCTGGCTTTTGCTCGTGCTTTTGCTGCTGCTCGTCGTGCTAGGCATCACGCCCTTCCTTGGCTATAAAGGTGCCGCGTCAGCCAACTGGTCCTACTTGACGTCGTTTGAGCGGGCGCTCGTGGGGTTCCTTCTTGGCCTTTGCCTTGGCATCTACGCCCTCGAGCTTTTTCACCGCGACATGGAGAACGCGCTCATGACGTACTCGAACGAGACGCACGCGTACACTTTGTATCGACCGAGTTTCTTCTTGAACGACTCGGACGCGACGCCGCCGCTCAACATTACGTCGTTTGTCCAAGCCGAGTTTGGCAAAGTCCTTCTCGAGTTTCTCCAAGACCAGTTTGAGACTATGTTTCCGCAAAGCAGCAACAGCACGACATCTGGTAGCTATGATGCAAGTTTGCCGACCATCGTTGCGCCCTCCAGCGCAACCACCGACGACCATGCATTTGCGATCACGGACCCGCTTCCTTGGCTCTCGTACCAAGCCAATGCACTGTTGTATCCACCGCCTGTCACCGAGACACCCGAGTGGATGAAGACGTGGGTGCACGACGTGTGCATGCCGGCGTCGCCCGTGAACGCGAGTTACTTGGATGGGAATGTTGTCGTGCCGATGGACCCCACCTTTGCGTCGTGCTTGCGCCCGATTCTGAGCATGCTTGTGGATGCCACATATGTGCTTCAAGTCGCGCTACTCTCGCTAAGTGCCCTACTACTACTCGAATGGACGGCACTGCTTCTACTCAAGTGGCTCGATCCAACGTGTCCCACGACAGCCATTGCCACCGCGACCAAGAAGGTGGCCGCGTCGTCCGGGTCCGTCGTCCACCTTCTTCATGTGCTCTTGATTCTCTTTGGTCTATGCGCCCTTGGGGTTGCAGCAGCCCTTCTCTACGCGGTGGCCCTCGATGCGTCGTCCATGCACGGTCGCCCGATTGACACGTCCCACGTAATCGTGTGGTCGTTCACGGGCGCGTTTCTAGTCTACAGCACGAGTGTGACGGTGTCGGGTCTTCTCGGGTGCTCGCCGCGCTTTCGCCGCGCGCAGACACATGCGCTTGTCCTTGCTTTCTGTCTGCAGTCCATCTCGATTGCCGTCCTCTACATCGTGCATACCGACACGGCGACGGTACACTCGTAGACTGCAACCGCGGCTGATGCATGTGTTGAATTAGATCATTCGTCACGACTTGCACGACGATGGGGGGTGGCACCAAGTGTATGTCCATGCGCTCTTGCAGTACATCCTCGATGCGCTTCAGCGCTCGCACTCGACGGTGCTTCTCGACTTTCTCGAAAACGAGTGTCAACTCTCCATGACAACGATCGACGACATGAGCGACACGTGCAAGCTCACGGTCGCCACAATGCTCAACGAGTATGTGCACGGTCTCTTATGCGTCTGTATCGGGCTCTGGGGCATCGAGCTCGCGCTCTTTCTGAAAAATGTCTATGTTCTCTACCTTCGGGCGTGGGGGCGCCGTCTCCTCGGCAAAAAGCCCGGCGAGAAGCGCGCACGCAAGCACAAACCACACGCGACAAGCCATTTTTCCGAGTCGCTCCAAGAAGCGTCGTTGCCGTTTGCGTCGGCGCTGACCTTGTACCTGCATTCAGTTCCGGCGGGTGGGAATGCCGACGTCGCCAAGCACGCCTTCACGTCCGAGTGGCTTTCGCGGACAGGCGCCAGCAGTGTACACGACGCCGAGATGATGTTGACGAGCGAGTTTGAGTCCATTGTGCGCGTGCTCGTTCTCGAGCGCCTCGTCACCGTCTGTGGTCTCGAGGTACGTTTTTCACTGTAGCATTCGGACAAATTGAGCCTTTGACATTAGATCAACGTCTCTATATCCAAAGACGGCAAGAAAATATACTTTAAACTCTCGGCGTCGCGTCGGCTGATCGCAACGGAAGCCGAGCGCCGCAAGTACAAGCTGCCGTTCCAAGATGCGGTGGACCCGGGGCCGAATGTACGAACTCAACCTCTTTTTTTGCACCTGTCGATCGCTCACAAGGACATGTAGTTTTGGACGCCACGCGAAGTCGCCACCGACCGCCGCGTCTACGATCCGCAGACGGCAAAGCAAAAGTTGTGCTCGCTCTATGGCCGCAACTTGCTCTTGGCGACCGAGAACCAGTTTTTTGCCCATGAATCATTGGCGCAGATTGCACGCCGCATCAATGTCCACCAACGTGCGGCCGACTTGGCCGATGACCCCCCACTACCGCTGGGACAGAAACCAAAGAAGAAAACACTCAAGAAGCCAGCACGCGTGCCGTACATGTACCCGACGTATGGCACGTACTACAAGAAGCCGAGTCTGCAGTACCTCTACAAGCGGCATCCCAACCAGCTCGACTTGCCGACGGTCGAAACGTCCCCATCTGTGTTTCAGACTACCGACATTTTACGACTCGTCGACCGCATCGTGCAAGATGAACTCGATACGACGGCCATGGTGGACTCCGGTGTCCTCGAGGGCTATTCGTGTTTGCATGCCGCGAGTTGCTTTGAATGGGTACCTTGCTTTTGGTATTAGGGTTTGACACGGCGATGATGGTAGACGAACCTCGAGAGTCTCAAGACGCAATGGCTCACGTACTGGCGACCGCGTCAGCTCCCAGGCGAGCCGGACCCCGACACGGCGTGCTTTCGCAACTTTTTCTATCGGATTTACCCGTTCCGGCAGCCGCTCACGGCCGTGCGCGAGTACTATGGCGAGCAGATAGCCTTGTACTTTTTCTGGCTTGGCTTTTACGCCCAGTGCCTCCTCCTCCCGGTGGTCTTTTCCCTTATCTACATTGTGTGGCACCACGGCGACTACCACGGGTACGCAACGTACATCGCAACGACGTCGAACGGCACGTCGCACATCGAGTGTACGCTCGACGCCACGTACCTCGGGCTGTGCATTCTGCTCTGGGCTTTTGGCTACGCCAAGCTCTGGCAGCGCAAGCAGCATCTGACAACGGTCGCGTGGGGCATGGATGGCTACGTCGAAGAGCAGCAAGTGCGTCCTGCGTTCTACGGCATCTCGGAGCGGCGCAACCCCATCACGAACGAAATCGAGCGCTTCTTCCCAACCCATCTTCGCGTACACTGCCATTATGAAGATGATACGCAGTGGAGAATACTGTGTTGTAGGTGCAACTGCAAGCCGTGTCGTTGGCCGTGATCGCCGCCGTTCTCTGGGCTTACTACCTCGTCATGGTGTCGCTCTACAGTCTCCAGCCGACGTTTGTGCGTGTCGCGGGACCGTTTTACGGCACGACACTCGTATCAATATGTCAAGTCGGCGTTGTCAATCTGTGCGCAAAGCAAACGTCCCGCGTACGTTCTTCTTCGCGCAACACTCGACGCAAAATGGGTGTAGATGGCGTTTTGGCTCACAGAGAAGGAAAATTACATGACGCAGTCCGAGTACGAAGACAATGTTGTCCTCAAGAGTGCGTTGCACATCTCGATGTCCCCTTCGGCTCATCTGTGTCTAGTCTTTTTGATGCAAGGCAGCATCTACTACTCGGCGCTGTTCTTTACGGCCTTTCTAAAACACCACACCCTCGGGTGCTACGACGTGTCGAGGACGAGTTTTGGCGCGCCTTCGGCAACGAACGCCACCATCTATGGACCGACGAGCAACTGCCTCCCCGAGGTCGAGAACCTCTTGCTGTGCCTCTTCCTCTACCGCATGGGGAAGAACGCACTGCACATTGCGCTGCCGCTGCTACGGTATCTTCGGAGCCTCAGCGCCAAGGCCGAGGACGAGGTCCTTGACGAAGTCGAGGCTGAGCTAGCGCTTTCTCCGCTGGACAACATGTACGAGGACTATGCCGACATTGTCGTGCAGTTTGGCCTCGTGACGCTCTTTATCTTTGTCGCGCCCATCGCGCCCATCTTGGCGTTTTTAGAGAGCGCGATTCAGCTGCGCTTGGATGCCTTCCACCTCTGCTGCACGATGCGTCGGCCGCTGCCGATGGAGGCCGAGGACATTGGCACGTGGTTCACGTACATCATGCTCCTCTCGCGGCTTTGCATCCTTACGAACCTCGGGTTTCTCTTCTTCGCCGCCTCCAACTTTGCCGACTTTTCGCCCCACGAACGCACAACGCTGTACCTTTTGTGCGTCGCGCTCAGCCTCGCGCTCTTTGAGTGCGCATGGATGGCAGTGCCCGGCGAACCCGCGCTCAAGCAAGTGCTCCTGGCTCGCCACGACTTTATTCGCCAAAAGTACTTTTTCGCGCCGTCGGCTGCGTCTTCTGCGTCGACACCCGAGAAGCCGCTGACAACCACGTCCGAGCTCATGGCGTCGGTCCAGGCGTATAGCGCCGACACGCTCCATGCGCTACATGCGCGCGCCGAGCTCCTCGACAAGTTCAACCACCTCTTTGCACCCCTCGCAAATACGACGACCGTGGCCTCAATACCGCCACCGAGAACGACCTCGGCGACCGATTTGCGGGAATCCAATATGCTGCAGCGCACGTCGTCCGTGGCGTTGGCGCCACTGGACCTCTCGGGCATTGACGCGATTCGTGAAGCTGTTCGACGGAGCGACGAGTCGTTCTTGGACGACGATGCGCCTGGTAATGACTCTTGCATTTCTCGAGGACGATGGTGTCATGAGGCTGCTGTAGACTGGTACTTTGCACCGACGAAGAGCGCGCCGCCGCCGTGGCGCCGTGCCGAGTCGTCCGTGCACCCGCATCGGTCCAACGCCCTCTCCTTTATGGACGAAGAAGCCAACGAAGAGGCGAGCGAATGCGAATCCGACGACAACGACGAGGGACCTTTTGTGTTTGAGGACGACGACGACGACCTCGTGGATCTCATGTAAAGTAGATATGTCATCATGATTCATTCGACGTAGAGTGATGAATCGTTGGATGCAATGGCTTGTGCCGTTAGGCATTTTTGCCAGGTCGTTGGTGGGTACCAATGTCGACGCAGCTTTGGCCGACACCGGACGGCGAAAATTCGAGCACAAAGCGCGGGTCCTACCGATTTGGTTGACCTCAAAAAGCGATAGAGACGTCCTACCACGGGCCCTTCGGACCGGTAGGCGTGCTGCGACCGCCCCGAGAACATGTCTGCCTGATCCAGCGTGACGTGCAGTCGCAAATTAAGGTTGCCCGTCTTGCTGTTGGTGTGCGGCAGCTGCAGCCGAAACTCCTACGCGCGTCGTCCAGCGCAACTGAAAAAGCGAAATGCAATTACGTCTTGGCCGCGGGGCAAGTAGCGATCGCACACGACCGCCTTGATCGACGTGCCGGTGAGAAATCCTTCCTAGCCAGAGACGTCAGCGCGGCGGTGATGCCAGCACCAACCTGGTCGGCCGCAATGTGCCGCCGCATGTCTTGGTTGTCGGGCAGCGCAAATTTGGCCGTAAACTCACGCTCCCCAACGTTGCTATTACCGTTCTCATCCCGGAACGTGTGCAGACTAGGCACCGTATAAGGACATGTAGACTCTACCAGCAGCGATGACCTCGGTGGGCGGTAGAGCTCATTGGACGTGACGCTTTTCTTGGCCGACTCGACCTTGAGGTCGTACTGCGTTGGCGTGCGAAACCGGGTGCGGAAGTCGGGGGCACCGATCGTGGTGCTACTACTCTGCGGGGGCTTGACGAGGGCTGTCGTGGCCTGATTGCGCGCCTCCATGGCGGCCACACGTGCATTGAACAGTGATTGACAGTCGAACGAACAGCGCTGTGTTTGCGCAAGGAGTTGGTTGATGCTGTCGTCGTCGTTCATCTTCGCCCTCCTGCTTGTCATACGATGGGGGATGAATTGTCTATTTATATGTTATTTTTTTAGCTTGAGGTACGCCAAGGTAGACTCGTCGAGCGGCAGCCCGCCGCCGTCCCGCACGGCCGCCACGGCGCTGCCCACAGGCGGGGTTCGTATTTCGCGCTGCTTGCCCTCCTACAGTAAATTTCCTGAGACGACAGCCGTGCGTCATTGCATACGTCGCTCTCGGGTTTGTGCTCTGGAAACAAATTGTCGTACAGGATCGAGAGTACTTCGTCGTGGGCGAGGAGGCGCTCAATGACACGGACGCGGTCGGCCGATGTAAAGTCCTTGAGCTCCGGGTCGTAGTCTAGCCGTGCTTGAATCCATGGGCAATGGATGGCGGCGTACCTGTGGTGGTCTCGGTCTTGAGCGGTGCGATTGCCCGCGTCGACTTGGGTTCGCGCCCCTGGGTCTTGCGCCGCACCATGTCCCGCTTGACCGCTTCGATGCTCAAGAGGAAGAAGGCTTCGAGCTGGTTGGCATCGTGCTTGCTGTTGTCCGACCGAAGGCGGTTGACATCGCGCTTGGACTGTTGCAGCTCACGCTTGAGTTGGCGAATTTGCTTTCGAAAATTCTCTTCGCGCTCGACGACGGCGAGCGGCAGCTGCATGTCTCCGAGTGCGCGCCTACATGTCTGCTCAGGCAACGAACGCCGTACTCATGTGCGAACCCGTCGTTGGCGTCTTCTGCGGGGGACGATGGACGTTCAAAGAGCGTCCTGTCGCTCTGTTGCGTCGAGAGGTTGGCGAGGCGGATCTCGAGCTCTATCGACGCATCGTATCTCGACCTGACACCCATAGGAGTGGCCCACCGGCGCGAAGGAGTTTGTTTTGTTTCTTCGACGCTTTTAGTTGCTTCTCGAGCCAGTCGCGGTCCTCTTCGATCGACTCGAGCTTCTCCTTCATGTGCTTGAGGTCCTTCTTCATGTTGGTCGTAAACGCATCGAGGCGCAGCGCTTCTTTTCGATACCTAACCCGTACGATGTCGATCAACTGTGCGTCGTGCACTTCGCACCAGTCGCGCTCTTCTTCGAGGAGCTTGATCTTCTCCGACTTGTTCTCAATCGTCTCGTTGCGCGTAACCTTTTCCTTTGTATCGTGGAGCTCCTTCTGTACGTTGTACATGTGGGCGCGGTACGCAGCGAGAAAGTCCTTCTCTTGGCGGACCAGCACCGCCGTGATCTTCTCCGAGAGCGACCCAACGACGTCGTGCAGCTGGGCGTAGCGCTCGCGCACACTGACCATGCTACACCACGCACGTCGCGACATTGAACACCCGTCGGAGTCTCTCTACCCTTTGGGCGAGTAGGCGCCGGATCGGCGCTTGTCGTCGCCGTCGCGAAGCGATGTCAAAAAGGTATCCTTGCCAAAGACATCGGTCGACGGTGTCTACGCCCACACAATGAGATCCAACAGAGCGGCGCGATGACCTTGTCCATCGTCCGCGGTCGTGAAAATGGAAGCGAAACCGGTTCTTGTGTGTTTTTAGCTGGCGATGACGGCCATCGCAGGCGTGCGACGACTGTACATGGAGCCGGCCAAGCTCGACATTCGCGAAGGCTCGATCGTCGAGACACCGCGCACGTCGTGGACGGACCCGTTCTTCACCGTCGACCAAGACCTCTTTGTCTTGCACTACAACTGCTTCGCGCCCAAGCCATTTGCGACCGATGTCGAGTACCAGCGCGGCTTTGGGCACAAGTTTGGCGTCGAGCGGTCCATGGCGCAGCTCGACAAGCGCTTTCGCCAGCTCACGACGCTGGCCACCAATAGGGGCATTCTGCGCGTGTACCTCAAGTCGCTCCTTGCGGCTGCGAGCCCCGTCGAGGCGCTCGACCCGACGTACGCGCCGTGCGTCGACCTCTCGGAGCGCCTCGAGACCGCACTGCATCCGACACTGCGCCTTGAGATGGAGATGGACGACGATATGGTGGCCAATATGGACACGATCCGCATTGAAGTGTCGGGTCGGTCGATGACGCCGGTACGCGATCGTGGTATGGCAACGTTGGCATCTTGTATATGGACATATTAGTACGTGCGCGAAGTGCCAAAGCATCTACTCCGCGGCGTCTCGAGCGTCATTGATGGCTTCCTCGCGCAAGCGACCGGCAGCACGCCGCCGCGGCACCAAGCGCTGACGTATGTGCCGCGCACGGGCACGTCGCGGGAGAAGATTGTGTTGACCGACGACGTGCCGGCGTACGACAACATTCTGTTGCACAACCACTTTGACGCGCCTGTGTTTGATCGCATGGTACATATTGTCTATCGCCATCAGGACCGGTTGAACTATCGCACTTGGCCGGTAGGTCCTTTTTGCGAAGGACCAAGACGTGGTCGAGCGCCGCTTGACTTTGGTGGACGAGTACGACAAGTTTCAAAAGACCAACAAACTCAGCAGCGACGAAATCAACCAGATTTTTGAGATTGAGATGAAGCGGTACGGCGACGTGCTCGAAAATGCCAAGAACAAGGAAGTCGCGCACACGCGCACGTTCCTCGACCAAGCGCTGCAGCACGACTTGCAGTCGGTCCACGCCATGCACGCGGCGACAGTCGCCAATGAAACAGCGCGGATTTCGGCCAAGTACTCGGCGCAGCGCGAGTCGCTCTTTGTCCGCATTGAAGTCGAGCGTCTAAAAGCGCTCGCGATGCACCGCGACTCGACGCAGACGACGCTGGCACAGCTCGAGCATGTTATGGCCGTCAATCTCCAGCAAGTGGACGCGATCTTTGGTGCGAGCGAGTTTCTTCTTCAAGTACGTGTCGATGTGTTGCCCGGTATGGCTCAGCAATTGTAGCTGCTGCTGCTGGCGCAAGATTTGGCCTGCAAGAAGCTACTGAATGCGTGTGTTCGGTACCTTACCGAGCCGCGTCGGTTCCAGCAGTTTTGCACGCGGCGGGAGCTCACGAGCCCGCTCTTGGCCGAGACGACGTTGCTCGTGCTGCTGCAGCACTTGCCCGACAGCGACGCGGCGGAAATCAACACGGTGTACGGCGCACAGTTTGTCTACCACGAGATGCTCCGGCGCGAGATTCACACGCGGCTGATTTCGCTCACTAAAGCGCTCGAAGTCCTTTTGAGATCTCGTAATGTATCAAGTTGATATATGTCTGTGGCTAGAGCTTGCCGAACGAAGCGCTTCGGGACGTCATGCAGTATGCGTTTGAAAAGTTTGTCGGCGACGCATCGTCCAACCCGTCAAAGGAAGTGTCGGCGCTCGGCGAACTCTGTAAGGGCTATCCGCACATTCTCACGAAAGAGCTCCAGCGCCGGCGCGAGTTTAGCCATGTGAAAATCAACCCCGCGCTCTTGAGCGACCACTTGAGTTTGGCCGAAGACGACTTGCTCGTGGAGCTCGAGTCGTCGAACCGGTACTGCTCGGCGATCGGCACCAAGCAGCGCTGTGCGGGGGAGTTTGGCCGGTGGATGTTTGAGGTACGATGTCATATGTTGCGTCTTCTTAGTCAATGTCCTAGGTGTGTATTGAAGCCATGGATCCGGTTGGCGCCAGCATTGCGATTGGGTGGGAAGTCCCTCGCAGCGTGCTGCAGTGGGCCCCGTCCGAAGACGTGTGGCGACAGACCCACGAAGCCCCCGAGTCGCCGCGCGGCGAAATGACGCGGTTCGGCGAACTCAACGGCTACGGTGCATCCTTCGTCTTTGCCCAAGAGTATTGATGCAACTATGGAGGCTAGGGGTCGTCTTTCCGGGACTGACGCCAGGCGACGACGGCAACAGCTTTGGCATTCTCTGGCAGTCGCATGCGGGCTTGATGGGCGACGGCATGGGTGTTCTCTATTGCAATGGCAAACAGTACAGCGGTGTGCCAACGTTTAGCAGCGGTGACGTCGTCGCGTGTACGATCGACCAAGACGCGGTCGAGCCGTTCGTCGAGTTTTACTTGAACGGACAGCTCGTGATCCCTGTCGTATCCGACGGGAGCGCGTCGCCGCTCAAGAAGCGGGGCGAGGTGCAGCAGCCGCTGCGGCTCCACAGCACGCACTACGCGCTCTTTCCAGCCGTCACGCTCTTCTCGAGCAAGGACCCGATCGCGCGCGTCCGGTTCAACTTTCGCGGTGGCTTCCAGTACCCGATCCCGGGCTACGAACCGTACGGCGCCGAGCTCCTCGACTTGCTCGAGATCGCAGGCCAGAGCATCTCCGAGATGGACACATACTCGACGCTCTCGCCGCGCAGCTCGCTGCAGTCCAACGAGACGTGGGGCTCGGTGCAGTCGCGCCGTCATAGCGACATTGCGCGCTCCGAAGCGCGCTCCGACCACACGCTCACGGCGCGCTCGATCATCTCGGTCAACAACACCAACAAGTAGCGCTGCGTATCGCATGCATTAAGACCGAATCTTGAGGCATCTTGGCTGTTTGCATATTGTACTGTCGCAGCAGGTCGCGTTCGGTCGGCGACTGCGACGTAGCATGCTTCTGCGGCGGCTGCTATCCAGTGTACAAGTGCCGGTCGGTGCTCGGCGAGGACTATGGCATTCATCTTCGTATTGCCGTACTACACTAAGATAAATCGTCTAGGAGCTACTGGTATATTAGTCGAAGGGTCTAGTATGTCCCTATGTCCAGGTCGACGATGGCGGTCATGGCCCTAGTACTCACAACCCGACGCGCTTTCCCGCGCTTTTTCCTGCGCCAACTTTCAGAAGCCCGTGGATCATCCGGATACGAATACACTATCCGGAGGATCTCGCTCCCATCCTGCTGCTCACATTGAAATTGGTCGCGCAGGATGGCTCCGCTCCGGTCGGCGCCGCATGTGGAAGAGGTTCGCCCGCGCCAGAAGCGTCGCCGCGTCGCGCCCGAGATGGAGACCAGCGAGTCGCTGCCAGTAGCGGCCGTCGACGACTTCCAAGCGCACGCGCACCGGCGGCGGCAGCGATACCGCGCTCATTGGGACGCGTACCTCGAGAACCAAAAGTACTACAACGCGTCCGAGACGCCCGTCACGACCGCGTCGCCGTACGTCAAGCGGCTCTAAGACGCACTTACGTAGTCCGTCCAACGCAGTCTCATAACCCACTTATCTATTCGACAGCATTAAAAGTCGAGGATGGCATGCACGGCCGCGAGCACGTCAGCCGGCTACGTAGCGCGTGAGCCTCGTACTGCAAACAGTGCGTGGCTACCTGTGTCAACGTCGGCGCCGACGTCCGTGCCGAGGGCGTGGTCGGGTCTCGCAAGGCGTCGGCGCACTGCATCCACCCTGGCACCTCGCGCATCTGGCGCTGCCACGGGCAGTACCTACATGAGGTGAGGTGGCCACTCGAGGCCGGAAGGGTGACAATACCATCGGTGGGCTTCAAGCGGATGGAAGGCCAACGCTTTGTGGCGCTTGGACGCGGGCTCGGTCGAGGCGTCGTCGAGCGTCGAGCAAAAGATCGCCGACCGATTGCAAAACGTGCAGTGTGCGAGCAGCGCAGCCTCTATCCATAGAGTAAATAAGATCTTAGCTAGTAAGCGGTCGAAGCCGGGGTACCATGGCTGCGAAGACTCCAACCGCTGGCAGCGAGACCGACGAGGATCGTGGCCTCCAGAGCTGGCACGTCCGCCGCATCGTCGTCCAGCACGCCCGAGACGACGCCCTTGCAGTAGGCGGGCCAGTCGGCCTCCGACACGTTGGCGCGGGTGCGGAGCAGGTCGAGGAAGGCGGCATCGACGTCGACGGGCCCGAGATGCGACACTGCTCGCAGTTCGGTGCACATGGTAGCAATGGCTTTGCGTACGCTCTCGAGCGCTTCGTCGGCGCTCCAGAAATGCAGCTACAGAAGCATGAGAGGCGAGCAAGGCTTGTCTTGTGTGTACGTGGCAAAACGACGCGGGCGATGGGTTGCCCCGCCACGGACACGTGCTCAAGTGAAACGACGTCAAGCGCTCGTGCAGGCCCAGCGCAACCTTGTGCGCGCCCTGTGCATGCATGATGAACGAGCATCGAGCAGCATATCGATGGTACCTCGGGGCTCAGCCGCTCGTCGATGCGGCAATTTAAGCGCGCATGGCAGCACTCGCACTGCAAGACGTCGGGACCGTCGTTGACCCAGCCGTGCTGGGCGCACACGAGCAAGTCGAGCTCTAATGGCTTGGCAAACCAATGCAGCGTCGAGAAGGACGCGACGCGGTGCTGGAAGTCGGCCCAGTTGTTTGGCCGGCACTTGGCGACACCGGGCTCGTCCTGCCGCAGCGGCTGCGACGGCGCGCCTGCGCGGCTTCCTTTCGCCGGCGCCGTCGCCTTCTTCCAGAGCGCCAAGGCTTGGTCGACGGCTTCCTCCAGTGCCATGCTCGTTCGGGCCGTCGGGATGTGGTTGTACGGATACATCGCCACTGCTATCCGGATGTTTTGGCAACAGCATCCTGAGCATGGCATGGTACCTGGCATGGTACACTGCCCATGGCAGGCGCGCCCATCGCAGGCCACCGGCGACGGCCACGGGCTCGGAGCCCACTACCGCTGGTGACCTCAGCACATGACAGATCTTGTATACCTGACATTGCGGGGCTAACTTGCCTCTTGCGCCACGAGCGGGCAGAGAGGCACGACGCTTCACCGATCGCCGATCGCCGCTTCGCACGCGTCGCCGGGCGCAGCTACGACACAATAGAGGCTGCTGATGAACTCTCTTTTTACTTTAACTAACCAAAATCTAAGCGTACGTGCCCTCCAGCATGACGTCGTCAATCTTGAGGATCATGCGCACGACCTGCGTCGCGAGCTGCAGCTGCTGCTGCTTCCCGATCAGCGTCTCAAACACGTGCTGGTCCTTCATATCATACGTGCCCGTCGCGTTGCAGTCAATGCCGAGGCGCGGGTTCTTCTCGCTGAGCTGCTTGGCGCGGACGGCCGAGAGCGAGTCGATCGGGCTCAGGCCCGCGTTCTCTGCGAGCGCCATCGGGATGTCCTCGAGCGCTTCGGCAAAGCCGCGGATCGCGTACTGCTCAATGCCCGTCGTCTTGTTGGCGTGCTCGCGGATCGCAATCGCGCACGTAATCTCGGCCGAGCCACCGCCGTAGACCACGCGGTTGTTCTTGATGAGGTTGCGCGTGACGCACATGGCGTCATGGAGCGCGCGCTTGGCCTCTTCGACAATCATCTTGTTGCCGCCGCGGACGAGCACCGTGATCGCGTCCGACTTGGCGCAGTCTTCAATGATGAGCATGCGTTCCTTGGTCGTGCCAAAGGCCATTTCGCGGACGACGCCGGCGTGGCCGAGCTTGTCGGCCGTGAGCTCCGAGAAGCGCGGCACGATACGGCCGCCGGTCGCGATCGCAATGAGCTCGAGCTCGACACCGCCCACCCAGCGCACGGCCGGGAGTTCGTTTTGAAGGAGCAAATGGTTGGCTTCGTCGTCAAAGCCCCATTGGCAAATGACGAGGTTGGCGCCCGAGTCCTTGACCTGCTTGATCATGGTACGGAAGTAGTCCTGCTCTTGCGAGTAGAGGGCCTCGTACGCCTCGACGGTCGTAATGTCGAGCTTGTGCTTCGTCTTGGGTTTCGGGGGCTCGAACGGGCACGTGAGAATGCACATCTTGGCGTCGCGGACTTCCTTGGCCATCTGCGGGTGCGAAAAGTCCTTGTCGACCACGATACCGTTGATGAGGCGCGTCTCCTCGAGGGTACCGCCGGGCTTGCCCTCCATCTTGATCAAGTCAAAGTTGACGTCGCGCGTCTCCCAGTTGCACACTTTGGTGACGGCGCTGACCGCAATCTCGGCCATTTGACGCTTGTACTTGTTGATGATCTTGCTCGAGAGCGTCGTCATGGCCGTCTCAATGAGCGGCGTCGTGTTGTCCTTGGAGAACTCGATGCGGTCGCTCACCGACTCGAGGTGCTTGACCGCAATCGCGCACGCTTCCTCAAAGCCGTCGGCAATGCGCATCGGGTGGAGGCCACGCGCGAGGAGCTTCTCGGCCTGCTCCAAGAGCGCGCCGGCGAGCACGACCACGCCCGTGGTACCGTCGCCAATCTCGTCGTCCTGCGACTGCGAGAGCTCGACGAGCAAGTGGGCAACGCGGTGCTCGACCTGCATCTGCTGCAGGATCGTCGCGCCGTCGTTCGAGATGGTCACGTCGCCATCCTGGCTCACGAGCATCTTGTCCATGCCTAGCCAATATGGTCATAAGCCTTATTCGCAGGCGAAGCGGGCGTACCCTTGGGGCCGAGCGACGTGCGGAGGAGGCTCGTCACCGTGCGCGCCGCCAAGATGTTGCTCTACGCAGTCAGCAGCATGAGCTTCGAGGCCATGCCATGCAGCCGTCTACCTTGATGGCGTCGATACCCTTGATGCGCTCCGTCTTCTCTTGATCTCTCAAGATGATGAAGGGGCGGCCATACTCGTCAAATACCATCGACATGTTGCTTGGGTCCGATCGTAGATGCTAAGAACTACACAGCCACTTATCATGCGCTCAAGCCCCCCGTTGACTTCGTTGCATAAAAATACGGTGCCCCGGTCCCTCTTTTTTGCATTTTCAAAGATCTCACTCGGTATTTGTATATGAATAAACTTTTAATTCTATTACATCCTGGATTCCCATTAAATACGAATGGTGCCCCGGGCTCCCTTCATATCCGGAATGTGCCGGATAGCAAACGCCCCTCGGCGCCGCCGCTATTCCCAAGATCGTCTCAATATATCGCACAGGTTGAGTTGGGACATGGCGCCTGATGGGCAACCGACCAGGCGCGGGAATATCGATGCAAAGCGTACTCGCGTACAAGCTTCGAAGCTTGGATAGAATTGGTATTGGCATCGGTACTTGGGTTAATGCAGCTCCAGTCGCTGGGTCAACAAGCTTGGACGCATGCGAGACTCGGTCTCGTGGCCATCACCGAGGTCCCTGTGTACGAAGAAGCGCTTGATCCGCGAGGTGTCGCCAACCATGCTGTTATCGTGCCGAGTGTTCGCGATGCATCGATGGGTCGGACTGTTGTGCGTTTCTATGATATGACGACAACGCAGCCTGGTTCCATCAGGTCCTTTCTTCTTCAACTTCAACGTCCATCTCGTGGCTGCAAGGATCCTCCTTCTTTTCACCTTTGATGCACCGTCGCTCGTCCTTCCTACGCGAGTCCTACGCGAGTCCTACACAGCGTGCAAGCGCAATTCTACGCTATACCTTGAGAGCGTGTTGCGTCGAACCTCGTGCGAACCCCAGCGACCAAGAAGCATTCGTTGGCCGATCCTAGATTTCGCGAACCGCCGATTCTGCTCAGAAAGGCGACGCTTCTTTTGGGTAACAGCGTCTGCATCTGTCCGTCCTTTGGCGCCCGCTCCGACCGAGTAAACGCAACAAAGGGTATTGCAACGTCACGGCAGCCTTGTCGACCGCGGATACTGTCCAGGCTGGATTGAGACAGAAGTGAGAATATATATTTCCACGTGGTGCGCTGCGATGGCACTCGGAATCTCAGTTTGCATTTTGAGCAGCAATCGACAAGACAATAATGGCACCGGTGGTCCCTGGCGCTGACGCGACGCCGCTGAACGTCGAAGAGTTTGAGACGTACGCGCGCACGTACCTCCCGAAGAAGACGCTCGACTACTACATCTCGGGCGCCGACGACATGGGTACGACATATACGTCACAAGCCACATGATGGGGCTCATGACGCTTGAGCGTAGTGACGCTCAAGGAGAACCGCCTCGCCTTCACGCGCCTCAAGCTCATGCCGCGCGTCCTCCGCGACGTGCGCAACATTGACACATCGACGACGCTCCTCGGGTCGCCGATTGCGACGCCAGTCTGCATCGCGCCCAGTGCCATGCAGCGCATGGCCCACCCGGACGGCGAGCTCGCGAGTTCGGCCGCCGCGGCTGCCAAGAAGACGTGCTACACGCTCAGCACGATCAGCACAACGAGCCTCGAAGATGTCGCAGTCTCGAACGGTGACGGCCTGCGCTGGTACCAGCTCTACGTCTTCAAGGTAGATTGGATCTCTTCCATGACCATGAAGCTTACGTTGCGAGGATGTAGGATCGTGAGCTCACGCGCGACTTGGTCGTTCGCGCCGAGAAGGCTGGCTACAAGGCGCTCGTGCTCACGGTCGACACGCCCATCTTGGGGTCCCGCGAGCCCGACCACCGCAACAACTTTGCGTTGCCCAAGTACGTATCCCTACCTCTCGATCGTGGCAGAGCGCTGGGATTGATGTTGATGGGCAGCCACTTGACGATGGCCAACTTTACGCACGGCAAGCACGCGCACCGCATGAACGAAGTCGGGCTCTCGCAGTACACGAAGGAGCTCTTTGACCTCAACATTACGTGGAACGACGTCGCATGGCTTCAGAGCATCACGACGCTGCCCGTCGTCGTCAAGGGTATTCTCACGCCCGAAGACGCTGTCATGGCCTGCGACGTGGGCTGCAAGGGCATCCTCGTCTCCAACCACGGCGCCCGGTAGATGCAGCTCTCGTCCAAAGACGGCGAATGTTGACATTGGGCTCGTAGGCAACTGGATACGGTGCCGGCGACCATCGAAGTGCTGCCCGCGATTGTCGAGGCGGTCCAAGGCCGCGCCGAAGTCTACCTGGATGGTGGTGTCCGCCGCGGTACTGATGTCTTCAAGGTAAGAGACTTGGCCGTCGTTGTATCAAGCTGATACATTGATATTTGCGTAGGCACTGGCACTTGGCGCCCGCGCCGTCTTCCTCGGCCGCCCGACGCTCTGGGGCTTGGCACACAGCGTACGACAACACCTCTTGGTGCATTCGGTCGCTCATGGCTCGGTATAGGGCCAACAAGGTGTGGAGGACGTCATTGACATGCTCACGAGCGAGCTCGCGCACGCCATGATGTTTTCTGCGACGACGACGCTGGCCGACATTGGGTACGTCGCTGCTGTCACCTTGTCTTCTTGGCCCATGCTGCGCGTGTAGCCCCAGCTATGTCCGTCACGAAGCGTACTTTCGCCAAGCCGCCAAGTTGTGATCGCGAAGTGTGGTGATAATGTATACACACGTTTTGGTGCGTTGATCAGTCAGAAACCTGCTTCATTTGCAGTGGCCCATCACGCGATGCCCTTGTGATACGAGTTCCTTGTGCAATGAGCTTGGCTTGTCGAGGGCGCTCGGGTCAAAGATCTGACTGGCGATGCAGCTACCGGTAGCAACGATGCAAGTTGTCAGAGCTCGTTGACGGAGGACCCACGGGCTTTCACTGCTCCGAAGGACCGGGACCACGCCTAGTACCTTCCGAGATGAGGCGCATCCGGACAGTAAGTTCAAGAAGCGTCCAAGGCAAATGACTTAGATTGATCGGTACGACGCACTTGTACGAGGCTGGACATGCACACTGAAACGAGAAGGAAGAAGCGACTGCGACGGAAGCAGCTACGACGACTTGAGGCGCTTGGGTGCGGGCTCGTCGTCGTCGTCGTTGACGGTGTTGCCATCAACGGTGTTGGCGTGGCGGCGCGCGTGGTCGTCTTCGGCGAGGCGGCGCTGGAGCCAAAGCATCATGATCGCAGCTTGATCACGGCGCTCGTGCTGGGGCAGCCGCTTGGTCACGACAACCGTGTCGTGCATGTCGATCGTGTCGAGCACATGTGCGTGGGCCGCCGCAAACACTCGAATGGTGGCGCACACTGGCGATGGGTTGCTCCTCGTCACCATCGTCGGCGAGCGAAGCCACTTGTCAAAGCTCTCGCAGTCGTCGCTGCCAGTCTCAAATGCGACGTCAACTACGGCCACCAACTCGTTTTGCATTGCGTTGTCCTCGGCTGCAAGAGTGCGAAGGGTCGTACGCGCGAGCTCTCGGTCGAATGGCGTCGTCGCTTGCTGCAGGCGATGCTCGAAGGCGCGGTGCAGGTCCGGGTCGTTGTCCCGGTGCAAAATCAAAGCACGCAGAGGGTCTAGCCGACCAGCGCGCGAGCATCTCGATCGTATGCATTTTTTAGTTCAGTACCAAGTCGCGCAGCTCCACCTCGTTGAAGTCGACCAAACGCGGACGCACGAGGTTGAAGTAGCGCCGCATCCGCCGCCACCGCATCCAAGAAGAGAGCGAGTGCTTCCGACGCCGCGCGGCGCGCCATGACCAAGATGCGCGTGAGCGTCTCCGCGTCGAGTGCGTCCACGGCGTGGAAGGCGCAAAGCACGTTGGCCGCATGGCTGGCGACGACCTGGACGTCGCACTCGTCACCCGTATCCACGCTGTCGCCGTCGACGTCGAAGGGCTCAATCTCGTCGCTCGTGGTGGTGGCCTGCAAGAGCGCGTCGAGCCATGGCACTTGGGTCGGCGCCAAGTCCACGGGTGGAAGACAATCTTGGTCTCCTTGATGACGAGCGTTTCCAAGCACAACGGCGCGCGGTACGCGTACACGTGCATATTGAGCTCCGGGGCATCTTGCCGTGCAGCGGATCGTCAAAGAGGTACGACTCGAGGCGCACGGCGTTCGCGAGTGCCACCTGCATGAGCTCCTTCGAGTCCTCGTAGTCCAGTGTCATCGTGGCGACGTGTTGGGGAAGATACTCCTGTAGAGGCGCGATGCCTCCGGAGCCGAGAGCGGGACGCGTGAGCAGACAGCCTTGCCCGAGACTCCCACAAGGCTCGCCACGAGTCGAACACTGCTCGCAAAGTGGGCCCACGTCACTTGCCAGCTCGAGAGGAGCGCTTCGAGCGCCGGCATGAGGGCGTCGACGCCAAAGAGCTCGAACGCACGCTGGATCGTCGACGCGAAGAGATGGAGGTGATTCATGCAAACCACGGTCGCGCGCTTGGCCCAGAAGCGCTTGACGAGGCCAATGTCGCCAAAGCCGTTCACTTGGCGACCAAGGTCGGCCGAGAAGAAGATCCCCGGGCAATCATACTCGTTGCACGTGTACGAAGCGCCACCAAGCATGTTCTCGAGGCAGCGACGGCGAAGCCCAATGTCGGGAATGACCCCGAGAGAGGCGACGCTTGCATGGACGCCGAGCACGCGGGATGAGCCGTGGGCCAAGAGACGAGACATACCTTCGGCTCCGTGTCACTCGGCTCTTGAGCGAGGTTGCGGAGGAAGACCGGCACCTTTCGGTACACAAGGTGCGCTATCACGTTGGGCTCGAGCCCCAGCGCCGGGTGCATCGTTCCACGAAGAATTTGGAAAGAAGACGCGCCGGTGTTGCCGAGGCGCGGGTACACGAGCACAGCGGCAACATCAAAGGCCTTGGACTCGAATTGCGCCGCCAGGAACGCCGTATCTTGAGAAAGGTGGTGCGGAAGGCAAAGATATTCGAGAGCAGCGCCGGCATGGACCGCGAAGCCGATCATGTCATGGACGACCGAAGGCGCTGACGCCACGTCGATCAAAGCCGCCACCGTGGCCTCAAACGCGCGCGAGAGAGGGGGCTCGTTGCGCGGCGGGCGCTGGTCAACGAGTCAAAGACGGCAATGACCACGTGCCCGATCTTGACGGGCGTGACTGACAAGGAGGCGCCGCGGTGCACCACCGCGTACGTGGCGCTTGTCGCATCCGTGACCAGCGCTTTCGAGAAGCCCATGTACGTGGCCGTCACTTGGCCGCCATGATGATGCGTCGGCAAGACGACGAGGAGCGTCCCAAAGCTGCACTTCGTCGGAACTGTCGGTGTCAAGAGAGGTGTCGACGAGGCGCTGCCGACAGCGATGTGCGAGAGCACGGGTGCAAGCCCGTACGTCTCGAAGTGGACGATTAAGGCAGCTTCGATCGACGCAGGATGAGCGTCCCGCCGCATGGACGCGATCGACGCGCCGTGGTCCTTCTGCACATTTTGAGCAGGGACGACGCCCGACCGCCCGACGGGTAGCGCTGCAGCATCGAGACGACGGGGTCGCTGATGCAGCAGTGGTTCGAGTGCGAGTCGAAACCGGGCGACTGGGAGGCTCGGGACGTAGCCGGCTGCGAGCAGCTCCTGGCTGACGTAGGTGTAGCGCTTCGTCCCCGCGAGGAGGTTGCGCGCGGCCTCGTACGGCTCGGTGGCGGCGTCGACGTCTTGCATGCTAGAGCTGGAGCTGGAGCTGGCGAGGACGACTGTGGCGAGCCGCTTTGCCAGCGAACCGGATCCGGATTCGGTGGATCGTCAGGACAGTCGGCGCGGATTGGCTGAAATGACAGAGTGTTGGTCGTTTCCCGCGAGCTCTCCTGCTCGACAGACAGCCAAGCAGGAGACTGCGCTTTGCGGCGCTTGATTCATCGTCCTCGCCGACGATGTTGTTGTGGCAGCCGGTATTCTTCGTCTGATGACGTCGCTTGCTCCAAGCCATCATGATCGGAGCTTGCTTCTGGTGCTCGTTCTGGAGCTAGTACATCTCAGAATGGTTTCCATCTCAAGGCCCCCACCGCGACGAGTTGTCGTCTCTCGTCGTCTCCCTATGGTAGTAGTAGCACTGTAGTAGTACTCCCAGTAAATATAATGATGCTACTCGTATACGCGAAGTAGATACATGCTTCCATTCTCATCCTCGTCGCGCCAATGCCAGGACATGTGCTCGGCCGTGATACATTGATACTCAAAACGTAGCGAGACCGCGTCGTCGCTGTAGCATTCGACGCAGTGTACCGTGCGGTACCGACAGTATTGCCTGCATCTCACATCTTGCGGACATCGAGACGTCGGCCGCCAACAGCACTCGCTCGCCATTTTCAAGTAAATTAGTAGGAAATGAAGCGGCGAGTCCGATGCTGTCGTTACAGTGCTCGAAATCGCTCTGCATCCTACCGAAATCGCGCAAAGCTCTTCTCCTTCGAACGTGCTAGCACACTCGAGAGCAACCATATAAACGCAATTGCTTAGGTCATACAGTGTGAAGGGTAGCAACCGTGAAAGTGAGCTTTTTGCTCTACTCGAAAGCTTTCATGTCGTTGTGCGCGAGGATTGTGAGTCCGGGGGTCGCGCCATTGGTCTCGTAGTCTGTGACCATGGCCTTGGCGACTGCAGCCACCGACACCTAATGTATGTGCAGAGATGAACATAGCTTTTGGATTGTTGGTGACGTACTGACGGGAGAACACAGTGCCCAACGCGCTCCACGAAACGCGAGAGGTCGCCGCGCTGCAACAAGCCAGGTTGAGCGATCGTCGTGCGAGGAAAACTGAGCGCCTTGATGGCGTCTTCTGCGAGGCCCTTCGTTTTGGGGTACAGGAACCACGAGGCCGCGTTGGCATTCTACTTAGTCGTTGTCGAGGTACTTGGAGTCCCAGGAGCGTACCGAGGCCGATACCAAGGCAAAGTACGGGAGGTTGGCGTCCTTTGCAAGCTTGCCAATGTTTTCCACGTACGTCAAGTCGACTAGACAGTCAAGATGACACATTTGCCATGACGAGATGCAGCGAGGGTGCACCTTTGCGGAAGGCTTCGTCCGACCCAGCATCTACACGCATGTCAGACTTCGTCCACGCCAGCGCGCATACCTTTGCGCGTCGTGCCAAGGCAGCAGAACGTGGCGGTGGCGCCATGGCCCGCGACGTCGGCCGGCTGGAGATGGTCGTAGTCGACGACGTGGACTCGGATCTTGTTCGCGGCCGCGCCGGGAAAGGCCGCCGCTAGCGCCGACGCGTCCATCGCCCGACGAGAGAGCGCGACGACTTGCGTGCAGCGCACAGACGCGGCGAGCTGCTTGACGACCTCGCGGCCGATCGCGCCTGTCGCGCCGACAACGAGCGCTGTGTACTCGGCCATGGCAAATTTGGATTTCGGCGTGTCTGATCCGGTTATTGTATCCGGATAGCTAGCTGTTTAAAACATACTGGGATGTTTCAAACTGGCACGCATGTCTTGGCGAGACGACAAGAGCTTCGAGGGGCTCGAGCCCGAGGGCGGCGGCGCCCGTGGCCGCGGGGCCGAGGTGCGCAAGGGCGGCGGGCCGGGGCTAACGTTCACGCGCAACGTGCCAAAGTTCCTCCAGTCGTTTCAAGACCCCGTTGCGCTCGACCACGAGGCGAGCTTGGCCTTGAAGCGGCCCAACCCGATTCCGGACGACGACGACGAGGAGGAGCTCGACGACGTGCAGAAAGAGGCCATCGCAGCGTACGAAGCTGCCGAGAAAGAAAAGAACGAGCCGACCGAGGAGAGCGCGAGCGACGCAATAGCCGCCAAGCCCAAGCGAAAGGCGCCGCTGTCGTTCTCGACCACCAAGAAAGACAAGGACGACAACGCCAAGCCTGCGAAGAAGAAGCGCAAGGCTGTCAAGGACGCCAAGCTTCTCTCGTTCGACTTTGACGACTAGGACCAAGCGATTGCATGGATCACTCGCTTGACCACGGTGAGGACCCAAGCCGCGACGCACATGGCTGCCACTCGTCACTGCACTGATGCCAGTGCGTCGTCTCTTCTCGGTCGTAGGCGTCCGTACTACCCTTATAGCAGTGCCAAACAATAATTCAGTTAGTTTGTAGCATAGATTCGGCGCAGAGATGAGTTGGGTTCCATCGAGCACCGACTCGGTGGTTCCATTGCCACCGCTCATAGGAGTGGGAAAAAAGAGACTGCAAACACGGGCTTGAGCTCCGTACTACCTACTCGCTCCTGCGAACCATGGGCAGGTCTCCGCCGACCGTACCAAAGGCGGTCGACTGGAAGTGCAACTGCATCTTGGCCAAGGAAATAGTCTTATTCCCTTGATCTTGACGGATCAATCGGTTGCGCTCGATGGTGGGGCCCAAGAAAAGCGCCACCAGTCTTGTGCCATGGAGCATACGCCATCTAGCAGTGTCCTTTCGAAGCGACTCGGTGCCAACTGAGGCGCGGCTGATGTTCTGTTCTACAGTTCGAGGACGTTGCCCAACGACAAAGTCCACCACAGGACCCTCCACTAAATGTTCGATGGCACTCCTATTGCAGTAGTAGGGGCATACCGTGGATGGCTCTTCCCGGCCAAACAACGTACGACCGCGGAAGCTTCCTGCTATCCAAGTATCCAAACCGCGATGGCATGAGTCAGCGCCTGACCAGGCGACCATGAGACGGAGACGCCACGTCGTCGTCAGCACCTGTCTCATTTGGTCGTCCCCACAACCGAGTCATATCCGGACCATCGATACAAATTGGCTGTGCTTGCTGGATTCAAAGCTTTCGTATCCGGATGCATAGATCCGCCGTTGACAACATATAGCTGCATGATGTCCTGCACGTGCTGGTCGGATGGCGCATTCATCCGGATAAACGTCCGGAAGAAGCGAATTGAACATTCCAAGCACACGTTTGCACAACCACGAAGCGACCAAAAGAATAAGCTGTCGGCAGCGGGCTATAAGATCCTCACCCCATTCACACTCTACCGCCCGACGAGCATGAAGGCAGCAACAGCAGCAGCGACGACGACGACGACGACGACGACCAAGGAGGACGTGGCGCGCCAACGGCGCTTCTGGGCCATTGCCGAGAACGACGCCGACGACGTTCCGCCGGCGTGGACGCCGAGCTCGTGGCGGACGTTCCCGATCAAGCAACAGCCGACGTACCCCGACCCCGCGGCGCTCGACACGGCTCTCGAGAAGCGTACGTGCCCCTTGCTTGGCAATCGCTCGGCTAACGCAGTGCGGTGTAGTCAAGACACTGCCGCCGCTCGTATCGGTGCAAGAGATTGAGCGTCTCCGCGACCAGCTCGCCGAGGTCGCGGACGGCAAGCGCTTTCTGCTGCAGGGTGGCGACTGCGCCGAAAGCTTCCGCGACTGCAAGCCCGACGTCATCGAGAAGAAGCTGCGCATCATGATGCAAATGAGCCTCGTGCTCGTGTGGGGCGCCCGCATGCCAACTACCCGCGTCGCGCGTATGGCCGGTCAGTTTGCCAAGCCGCGGTCGCAAGCCACTGAAATCATTGACGGCGGTACGCCTCGCCGATCTCATCTCGTTGTCTCATGCTGTCCAATACGTCGGCTAGTCGAAGTGTGCACGTTCCGTGGTGAAAATGTCAACGGCGTCGGCGCGCATGAGCGGACGCCGGACCCGGCGCGTCTTCTCGAAGGCTACTACCACAGCGCCGGTACATTTGTTTTGATTTTCGTCATTTTTGTCATTTTTTATTGCATTAGCCACGATGAACTATGGCCGGCTCCTTCTCGACAGCGGATTTGCCGACATCCACGATGCAGGCAAGTGGGACCTCGGGTTTGTCCAAAACTCGATTCGCGCCGAGCAATATGCGCATATGGTGTCGGCGATCCAGGACAGCTTGCACTTTGTGCATACGTGCGGCGTCGGCTACGACATGAACCTCAAGACCATGGACCTCTTCATCTCGCACGAAGGCCTCGGCCTCGCGTACGAAGAGGCCATGACGCGCAAAATCAACGGCAAGTACTACAACATGGGCACGGACTTTCTTTGGATCGGCGACCGCACGCGGCAGCTCGACCACGCGCACATCGAGTACTTTCGTGGCATTGCCAACCCGATCGGCGTCAAGGTCGGCCCGAGCATGCACCCGTCCGAGCTCGTCGAGCTCATCACCAAGCTCTGGCCGAATCCCGAGGCGACGCCGGGCAAGATCACGTTGATCACGCGGTACGGCGACGCCAAAGTCGCCTCGATGCTGCCGGCCCACATCCAGGCCGTCAAGGCCGCGGGGCTCAAGGTCGTCTGGTCCTGCGACCCGTGCCACGGCAACACGATTACGACCGACAATGGCTACAAGACGCGTCCGTTCAGCCGGGTACGATATCTTGCATGGTGTACGCAACTCGTGGACTGATTTGAGCTCGGTAGATTTTGTCCGAGTTGCGCCAAACGCTCGACATTCATGTCGCCGAGGGCAGCCACCTCGGCGGCGTCCACTTTGAACTCACGGGCGAGAACGTCACCGAGTGCATTGGCGGCCCGGAGCAGCTCGATGAGACGGACCTCACGGCGCGCTACACGACGGCGTGCGACCCGCGCATGAACTACGCCCAGAGCATGGAAGTCGCGTTCTTGCTTGCCAAGCACCTCAAGCAAGCACAAAAGTAACGTAGCAACTTGAATATCCACCACTTTTTTAGACGTTTTATTTTCCATCGATGATCCGACCACAGTAGCGAGCACAGTAAGAGCGACTCGCAAAACCGAGGTGCTCGATGTTACAGTCGTGTCAACTCTGAATCGAGCGTCGTCGTGAGGCCATGGAGAAGTGCCCACGGTTGGGTAGCGTGGGGTAACCCTACCAGCATAACGTTCTGTGCCGGTAGTCAGCAATGGCTTGTGGAGCAACCTCGACAGCACCGAGATTTGCCTTCCTTGAGCCTTCCTTGACGAGGCGACGATTTGCGTTGGTGAGCGCCGGCCTTTGTCGTCATCCAACACGAAAAGACTAGACTCGTAGACTCGACCGTAGACTCAACCGTAGACATGAAACGGCTTTTTTTAGACTGCTGTAGGTTGGAGTGGTTGCTACGGCAAATTGAGCAAAAAGTGCAAATTCAGTCTTTGATTATAATAAAAAGGACACATGTTGTGGCAACCTAAATCTGGTTGTGCGACGCGAGGTGCGTGTAGATGCCGTTGAGACGCATGAGCTCATCGTGCGTGCCTTGCTCTGCGATGCGGCCGCCGCTCACGACGCAGATCTTGTCGGCGTTCCGGATCGTCGAGAGGCGGTGCGCAATCACGATCGTCGTCCGGCCCTTGGCCGCCAGCAGCTTGTCGAGCGCTTCTTGGACGACCTTTTCGCTCTCCGAGTCGAGCGCCGACGTGGCTTCGTCCAGTAGCAAAATCGACGGGTTCTTCATGATCGCACGCGCGATCGCGATGCGCTGCTTCTGGCCGCCCGAGAGCTGCTCGCCTTTGAGACCCACTTGCGTCTCGTACCCGTCGGGAAACTGCGAGATGAAGTTGTGGGCGTTCGCCATCTTGGCGGCCGCTTCCACGCGCGCTTGGAGGTCCGGCACGTTGTCAATGTTGGCGAGGCCGCCGGCAATGTTCTCGGCGATCGTGCCCACAAACAAGACGGGCTCTTGGCCGACGAGACCGATCTGGTTGCGCAGCCACGGGAGGTTGAGCGTCGCGAGCTCGCGGCCGTCGAGCGTGATGGAGCCGGCTTGTTGCTGGTAGAAGCGTTCGAGGAGTGCGACGACCGTGCTCTTGCCGCCGCCACTGGGACCGCAAAACGCGACCGTCTGACCCGGCTCGATCGTCAAATCGTAGTGCTTGAGGACTTGGATGTTGGGGCGGGTCGGGTAGTTGAACTGGACGTCCTTGAAGACGATGCGGCCTTCGATCGAGTTGGGCACGACGCCTTCGTCGACCTTGGACGAGTCGATGATGGGCTGGCGCTCGACGATCGCGAAGATCTCCTTGGCCGCCTTCTTGGCCGAGTCGGTATCACCCATCCAGCCGGCGGTCTGGCCCATGCCTTGGGCTGCCATCATGACGGCCATGAGCGTGCGGATCATCTCTTCAAAGCTGATGGCGCCGTCTTGGATGAGCTTGTTGCCATACCAGAACACCAGCGCGTAGACGGCAAACATGGAGAAGGTCGAGAAGCCGTTCATGATGCCGTTGATGTGCGACTCGCGGACGCCGTCCTTCATTGGCTGCTCGAGCATTTCGTCGTACTTGGCAGCAAGCGTCTCTTGGAGGCCGAGTGCGGTCACCGTCCGGGCGTTGACAATGGCTTCAGTCGCCACCGAGCCCGAGAGCGTGAGGCTGTCGCTGACCTTCTGGCCCTTCATCTGCTGGCTGCGGAACATCGTGGCGATGACCATGAGCGGCAGCACGCAGAGCATGACGAGCGTGAGCTGCCAGCTGCCAAGGCCAAACGAGATGATCATGGCCGCGATGAACGTAAAGATCGTCTGCACGATGCGTGACTGGTTCTCGCCGGCGATCGCAACCACCTTGGTCGCGTGCGTCGAGAGGTCGGTTGTCAAAGCGCCGGTCGTGTGGCCGTCCATGTCAAAGTAGCCAATGTCCTGGCGCATGAGCGCCTGGAAGTGCATGTTGCGAAGCCGGGTCGTGAGCTTCTCGCCAATGTACCGGAACGTGTACGTCTGGATGTACGAGACAAAGAAGATGGCGACCGCAATGCCGATGAAGATGACGGCTTGATCGCGGACGTCCGTGTAGAGCGTGTCGAGGTACTCGGGCTTCTTCGTGTCGATGTACAGCTTGTAGTTCTTCTGCATTGTCGACATGACGTTCGAGATGATGAGCGCGACGCCGGGCATCGAGAAGCCTTGGATGCAGCACGCGAGGAAGCCGACGATGAGGTACTTGCGCTGCGGCTTGGTGAGCTCCATGATCTGGCGGAACGACACTTCCTTCATCTCCGCCTCGATCGACGCCGACGGCAGCGCGTCAAAGTTGA